GTTCTAATTTAATGTCAATTTCTTCACTCAACCCATATAGATCAGGTAAATTATCTCCATTTCTGAGCTTTGAAATAACATACAGTATTTCTAACTCTAAATTATTGCTATCTACTTCATGAACATAATGTTGATTTTAAGAAACATGTAAATTTTAATGGTTCACAATCGTTTGGGTAGAAAATTGATCTACTTCATGGCCATTGGGCCCTACTTGAACCATTTTACCTTTATGCTTATCAAGCCTTCCATAGCTCTGTTGTGGTTGTCCCTCTATCATCATCTTCATTCATTCCATTTCATTTTTTAGCTCATGCATCTTCTTTCTTTGTTCCTGCAACATCTACTTCAACATTTTTTTAGCAGCCAATATGGCTTCATTTTGATCTACATGAGTTACATGGGTAGGCAGAAAATTCAGTGAGCAGGAGGTTGGATGAAAGGGAACTTGTGGTTGGAAATTCTGTGGGGCTTGAGGAGGAGAAGAAGATAAACTCTTATTAAAAAAATAGGTGTATATGAATTATCATTCCCCCTTCTATAGTTGTTATTATCATTATTTTTATTATTGTTATTCTTGTAAGATGATGAGTAGGAAGGAGAGGTGCCCTATTTGGCCATAAACTGTTGCCCATAGGTTTAAGAGGCCAAGAAAGTTAGGTCCTCTGCCCCCCCCCCCCAAATGTCTAGTTTTGTTCGTGAGAGTTACCTACATTAGGGAGATACACGTGTAGGGTAGTACACCCATTTTTGTGGTTACATTCATATTGGATCATCAGATCTAGGGCTGTGAAGGAGCAAGGAGAAACTTGTCACTTTGATCCATGGAAAAGAGATTTCCATTCTAAATTGGCTAATCTAGAGTGTTGGACCCTAAGGGAGTGTTTTGGCCATTGGATTCTACTTATTGCTAGTTACCACCACAAGACTGGGGAGCATCCTTCATCTACCATTGATCACATAGATCACACTCAGGAGCTTTTGTTCTTCTTTATTTGTTAATGCCAAGTGTATACATCAATTGGCATCCACTTGGCTTCACAGGCTCAAGATTGAATCTCATCTGTTGAAGCATGCATCAGCTCCTTAAAATATTTAAATAAATCAAAAAATTCCAAGAATACTCTAACATTTGTAGAGAGTTAATTCTAGTGAAACACACATCCAAAAATTATATTGACTTTGAAAGCCTTGAATTTTTTGATGATGATAGCAGATGTTATGGTGATGTTTGTATTACCTATTATGTGTAGATCACAACACCTCAAATTGGATAATTAAATCAAGAAATTGAGTCAAACAAAAAATATTCTATATTAATAGTTTAGATAATTAAAATGTTTTTGAATGCCAGCTGGTGTCACAAGTATAGTCATGCATGTAGTTGGAAAGGTTATAAAAATAGAAACATGATGCAAAAAAATGTGTAACTATTTAGAAATTTTCATGTGTTATGATTTTTACAAGATTAAAAAATATTTTTGGAGTTCAAATATCTAGTATAGATGTGACCCAAAATAGATTGTTATCTAGCCAATGCAAACTACTGTTGGATGTCATGATATGTTGTAAACAAAAGAGATGTTTCAGCCCACATTAGGGTCTAAGTGAAATAGAAAAAGACATCATAAGAAGGAATTTTCATTTACACATTCTTACTATTGGATCTTTGAGTCAGCCCAAGGAAACAAAGGGGTTGGGGAGTTAATTAGGCTCCACTTTTAATCTCTTTGTGACATATAACGTAATTAAGATATTTCAGTCACACAATTTATAGTGTCTCAATCCACCTTACTACACTCACTAGTGACAAGTTTTTTACATTCCACATTATAGGGAGGTGAAATACCTAGAGATTTAAAGAGTTCAGCCACTTTCACCAGATTTAAGGACTCCATCCAATATAAGATTCAACTAAGAAGTCTTCTTGATTCATAGCTGTATGAGGCAGAACAAGAGGAGACCCATTCCTCTCATCTAGATTATTGGATCTAGAAGAGTGAGGCTCTAGATCAGTCCAAGTACTAAATGTAGTCTAAATAAAAGTGAGTGAGTTATTATTTTAGTTTTTCACACCAAATGCTTCATGAAGGCTTGAATCTTCTAATTTCTTATCTACAACACTCTTTAGTGAGGTCACAGCTTTTTGTCCCTTTTTTTACCCTTCGATTTTTACATTTTGATCTTGATTTTTGTGTTGTTGTTCCTTGTTCAGGTTGAGGAGAATGTTCTCCTTATATTCGCTAATTACTTTCCAAGAGTCAAACTAATTGGCCTAAAAGAAAAGCTAGTAGACATAATTTGTTAAATTGAACATAAAACACTTGTGTGAAACTAACCTTTAAGTTATAAATTGATTTGCCTTTCATTTGAATTTATTCCTCAAAAAAATTACTTCCCATGTGTTGAGGTGGACTCTAATACAACTCGTTAGGTTTGATAACCACACATTATTCAGATGATGAGGTTAAATTGGGACCTCTTTTTTAGAATTTCTCTATTTTCTCTTAGTGGTCCTCTCTATTTTTAATATCTTAAAATTGTCAATGAGAAGAGACCATTTTATAGTAGTTTGTGTACCTCAACCTACTCCATTATATAAGGACCATTTCCTCATGCTCTACTAATAGTAAGTGTTTACACCAAATTAAAGGTTTCAACCATCTACTAGATTTACAGCCCAGCCCTAACACAAAAAATTAACATGAAACTCTATCCATATTTACATATCTAATTTTATTTTTAAAAATCTAAAATTTTCATCTAGATTCACAAGTTTATGTGCCTACGTAGAGAGTTCTCACTCTATTCAATAGGTTATTATAGTTCTACAAAATGTTTTGAATACTCAACTAGATTAGAAGTAGTTCATTTTTTGATATGGTGATTCTAGAAACTAAATTTCTACTTATTTTCCACTAACAAAGACTCTTTTGGAGGAGTTCTTGAGAGAGTGATGCAGGACAAGGCGAGAACCCCTTGTACTTGACCAATGAAACTCGAGTCTCATGATGGGGCAGTCGGACCGATCTAATAAGAAAGTTTTGACCCTAGACTCTAGGTCTGACCACGTAACGTAAGCATAGGCAGGCGTACCAATATGCATGATCATCCCAAGACAACACAGGGAAACACTCGACGATGGTGAGTGAGAGGCCCTCTCAGTCCACATTCAGATAGACGATAGAACTGTCGTCGTGAAGTAGCCTAGGGCTGCAGCTCACAAACTATGACAAGTCTGGTGCAGCGTCAGAAGTCACAATCCGATAACCTATCATATCCTGCCTACGCGCTCCTGAAGGCAGTAGAGACAAGTCGAGAAAACCCTTCAAAAGATAATTAAACTTAAGTAAAAAGAGGTACAGAGCTAACTTTCAAGGTTGTGTAGCCCGACAAGTCATGGCTGAGTGGAGATCCGACGAAGGCAGGGACATCCAGTGAAGAGCGATGCTTAGCATCGACAGTCGGTCTTGGTCGAGGGTCACGAAAGTCGTCGTCTTAGGGCCTGGCACAATCGGGGTGGGCGTGGGCCTGCAGGTGGGCCAAAGGGCACACTAGTGGGCGTGGGCCTGCTGGTGGGCCGAAAGGCACGCTAGCGGGCGTGCACGGCAAGTCGCGCGGCGTGCCCTAGGGCACGCGGGCAGTGGCGCCGGGTGGCCGCGCGGGCCGCAAGAGCCGGCGCGCGGGGCGCACGCGGCGGCAGTGCTTCGGCGGGAAGGCCGGGCGTCTGCGGCACTTCGGCAGGAATGCCAAGCGTCAGCGACGCTTTGGCGGGAATGCCGAGCGTCGACGTTCGGCGGGAAGGCCGAGCGTCAGCGGCGCTTCGGCGGGAATGCCGAGCGTCAGCGGTTGGGGCGGAAACCCAATCGTCACCGGAAGGATCGGCCTCCCTGGCAGCGCCGGGAAGCGGAGCAGAGAGGAGACGATCCGGCCGATGATACTAGGGAGGGTTGTGCTCTCCTGGTCTAAGCGGCGCCGGAAATGGCGCAACGGCGGCGGAGTGTCGGGAAAATCCGGCGGGGGGCCTGTGAGGAGCTGGGACTGGTTCTGGCTCGTCAGCGCGGCTGCGGGGTCTCTTCCGACGTCGGTGGCAGGTCGGCGTTCGTCGGCGAACGGCCAGCGATTGGGCGGAGCGGCAGAAGGTGGCTCCGGCGAATTTATGGTGGAGTTCCGGAGGAAGAGGCGGCAGTCGAACCGGGAGTCGAGAGACTCCGGTGGAGTGCTCGGCGACGGCTCTTGGGGAGGCGAAGCGAGCCCCTTTCGTCACGACGGCGTGATGGGGTTCCAGCAGAGGCGGCGGCGGCTGCAGCGGCAACCGCGACCGTTTCGTCCGGTGACGGCGGCGAGCTCCCGGGCGGCAATGAGATGGCCGGCGGCGGCAGCGGTCTCAGGCGGCAGCGGGACTTCTCGGGCAGCAGCGTCACGAGGAACGAAGTCCTCGAAGGGGGTATCGACGGCCTTCCTCTTCCTCCTTCTTTCCCTATTCTAGGTCAGGAGGAAGATAACTCACAACGATAATTTCTCTCAAAAAAATACGGCGCTCTCTGTGGCCTACCTCCCCTTATATGGGGGCCCACAAGTGGGCTAAGGGGAGGTGGGCCCACTTGAGACCCTCAAGCCCATAAGCCACAAAGGCTACAAAAGGGGCTTATTGGGCCTCTTAAAGAGAGACCCAATAAGCTCCCCTAAAAGGAGAAAGAGGAGGGCCCTCTTATAGTGCTTATGTGGGCCTCAAATAAAGACCCAAATAAGCCCCCAAAGAGGCCCAAAAAAAGAAAGACACATAGGTCCCCGCCCCTTTAGGGTTTTAATTGGGCCTCAAAGAAAGACCCAATAAAATCCTAAAGAAAGAGAGACAAACAACAACACACACACATAGAATTAGGTCTGCTAACATACAAATGCGAGGCCCAATAAGTCAACGTGAAAATATAAAGAAAGATATGGGTGAGCTCAAGCTCATCGTCGTCGCAGAGGTGGAATGTCGTTGTCTCAAAGGGCTAGGCCGTGTAGTGAAAGCTAGGCTCCTTCATCTTCGCACGTCGATCAAGCTGAAGTTCGACTGCCGATGTCTCCTGAGCTGATGGAGATGGGTCCTGCTCACCATCAAAGAGCTTAAAGCAACAATAGTTGTTTTTTCTTTGTAGTTGCCCAATATTAGCTGATTAAGGACCAACTCTTTTTGGGGTACAAGATGTTGACAATAGTGATAGCTCACCCCACTCATCAAATCATTCTTGAAACTAATCATGTAGAAACATACACCACATGCATTGTACATAAAAGATTCATCTCATTTTAATTCAACATTTCCATCAAAAAAGTTCTTGATAGTTGTTTTTCGTTTCTCCATACCCAAGCCTTCTATTAATCAAGTGTTGTAAATATCATCAAAATCATTGGACTCCTAAAGCCATCTAGTATGTGGAAGAGGACATCGTATCTTTTCTAGTCCCTTCAGATATGCATATGTGACTTGGAGAGTGAACTAGTGCATGTGCAAGCACATTGTCCCAAAAGCACGTGTAGGCAATCATCAATTAGTTGACACATGGCCATACCTAAATTGTACAACTACTAGCACATGATATGCATAAGGATGGGCAAGCATGTACACATTTTCAGGGTCAAACATTCAAATTTAGGTGGAATCCACAAGTGGATGGTGCAGTTGCTTAGTAGGCAACACATACCCAAGGTGCATGGCATGAAAAGGAAACAAAGGTTAGATGAGAGCATAAGATGGGGAATAGGAGTATTTAGAAATTATTGATGATCTTGGTTCTCTTGCACAAGCAAGATTATGGTCTCATTTCTGAAAACTTCAGCACTCTTGTTCTCTTCCTTAAATGCTCAAGGATGTTGTAGAGCTTTAGCTTAAATTCATTTCATAAAGTTGTGGCATCATAAGCCAATATTATTTTGATGATGAAAAAAATATGTGGAATAATTGCATGAAGTTAATGATTGATGAAATATCTAAGCCATAGATCTTGATGATTTGAGTCAAGTAAAATTCTTAAAAATTGATAAAATCAATGGTAAAATAGTCATTTTCAAGCATAATCTAAATTAAAATTCTCAAGACCCTTGAAAATGTCCAGATTGCTTGCATATGGTGTGATATGATATCCATAATTTATTGAGTATTTTAAATTAATTTATCTTCACATTTGTATGTTCTAATTTAACTGTCAGCATGTGTTTAGTCAAGAGTAGAGAGTGAAAAAGAGGAAAACCAGAAATAACTGTTGAGACATACCCCCTTGGCATAAGACTGATATTGGACCATTCAATAGTTGTTGGAATGTAGTAAAAGAGAGAAAAAGTAGATTAAGGAATATGATAGCCTCACTAAAGAAAAAAATAAAAGATGTCTTTAAATGAACGAGATATGAATATTTTATATTGTGCTTTGGACGTCAACAAGCTGAACAAAGTTTTTACTTGTAATAGAACAAAGGAGATCTGGGACAAATTAATTGTCACTTATGAAGGAACTACAAGGTTAAAGAAAAAAAAATTGATGAGTTTAAAGTTCTTACCAAATTTAGTAATGAATCTAATTTAAAGAAACCCAAAGTGACAGCCCTAGAAGAAACAAATGTTTTAGCTAAGTTCTCACTAGATGAAGTCATGGGATCATTACTAAAAATGAGATATGAGACGAGGTATGCACAGATCATTATAAAACTAAACTTTTATATGGTGATCTACTGAAAAAATTAGTATTTTTATATGCTGCATATAAGAAAAATAAGTAGGAAATAAAAATCCTTCAAGAAAAAAAAATGCCTAAAACAAATAAATGAGGAATGCACTAACCTCAAGAATTTAAGTAAAGCCCAAGAGTTAAGAGTTGCAGGGTTAAGAATTTGGAGAATCAAAACTCAATATTATTTTGGAAGGTTTAAATATAGTCAACTCTAGGTGTGTTCGAGCTGTGAAATCCAATAGGTTGCTAAAGCCTATAATTCAGTTTAAATAGTAAGTATTACCAGAACCCAAGAATGAGGTCTTTTGTGATCTGAGTAGGCTAGGGTAGACCAAAACAGTATGAAATAGCGTCTTCTGATCAAGTATTCAAATAGATTGAGTAGGGGAGAAGACAATTTAGAGAAAAGAGACATTCAAAGTAAGAGCTCACAAGTTCAATCTCCTCCTTTTAGGTAATGTGCTGCCATCAGACCAAACAATGCCAAGTTCATATTGCTCCTCATTTTTTTCTTAAGTTACTCAATCTCTCTGTACTAAAATGGATCTTATGCTAGGTTTTCACATTATATCTTCACCTCATCAGGATAATTGAATTCCCTCAATAATACTCATTTTTTTCCAATCTTGCACAACCTTTCTATCTCTCTAGGCAACTAAAAGCATCCTATCAGCCACAATATTTGGTGTTTTTCAGTTGAATGTTCATATCAGGATATCTGATTTTGTAATAGTCTCATGATTGATTTTATTGATCACTTAGAACAGAGAGAACTTGATTCTCTAGGATTATATCTTTGAAGAATTTTTGCATCCTGCATGCATCATATGCTTTGGGCAGTCCATAATTCCATTAAGGTTTTCTCACATTTTTTTTTATCAGTTGAATTCTAGAATTAATTATTTATTTCCCAACTAACATAGAAATCTTATTTTTACTTGTCTTCTTGATTGGACTAGCATCATATTTTTTAGCTTATGAACGTCTTTTACCTTGAGATTTTTCTTAGAGCAGTAGAAAGACACTACAAGGGTTTTGAAATTACCCAATGGTGTGCCTTGTTAAAAGAATTTAGTTACCTTAAGCTTTATTTAAAGTTTATTGTGCATTTTCTTAGGAATAAGGTGAGCTGTTCATAAAAGAAAGAATAAAAAATTGGGTGTCAATGATCATTTCTTCAAAAAAGGAAAAAAAAAACTTTATGTGAAGAAAGCTATACATACCCGTATTATAAATACCTTTAGTCATTGGAAACCATAAATAGAAGTGTCTACCAATAGGACTCTCAATTGAAACCTAGTTTGATATTTTTCTAATAGTTTTTCTCTAAGCCACAATGTCTACAAATAGGGCTCAAAAAATATTATAGGCCAGGGTTTATGTAAGTCATAATGACTAGGAGTTGCACCATCATGTGATACACAAAGCATCTACCAATGATAGTTCTCCTTTTCCAAAAAGTAATTCTAATGAAAATTCAAATTACTGATTGTTGGAGTCAACAATAACTTCACAATGATCTTCTTGTAAGCACCCATAACTTTCTCAATGATCTTTTACATTAAAATTAGTACTCAATTGATGTTTCTAGTTAGCAATTCCATATGTAAGATCTCATACATTCAGTTTTTAAGATAAACAAGACAAATTCGTCATTCTTTTCATTCTTCAAAAGTAGTTCTCAAATTGAATGACTTAATTGTAAATTCAACTTTGAATTCCCATTCAAAACACTTTCAAGAATTAAACATGGATAAACATTTCATGGTATTCTGACGTCATGTCACACTTTTGTAAATGCTAATCATATCAATACTCCCTTGATACTTGTCCCCTAGTTTCATCATCAAGGATAGGAAATCATTCACACCTATGGCTAAACAACCCAATTTTGGCTTTTCTAAGTCAAAAGGTTCGTTCATAAATAAAAATAAATTTATCACATTTATGTGTCTAATTATCACGACTAAACATACTTGGGAATTATTTTGAATCTAAATAACCGAAAGTAAGATTAACAGGTCAGTCATTCAATGCCAGTAAATTTTTGTCCATCCGGGGATACCGGTGAAATTGGGGTGAGGAAATCAGAAATCAGGATGGGATAACAACTTTCTGAGCTGCGGGGAGCACAGAGAGATCCCCGTTCCTCGACTCCCCCCCGAGAGAAATCCCCATTCCTCCACTTTTCATTTCTTTCTTATCGTGAAGCACAGAGGTGTAAATCGTAAAATTGTAGGCTGCTCTTCTGTGTGGGACGGACGCTGGAAGCATCGGGGGAGAAAACAGACTGCCAATTGGAATTGCTCCCAGACAGTTTGGAGAATTTTGCTGACCTTCAAAGCATGCCGTTCCCGGTCAAAGACAATGGGCAGAGGAAAACCAACCGTTGCGGCGGCGATGGATCGCGAGAGAGCCGACTATGAGTTGGAATAAGTCCGGGAGCCGGAGAAGATAGGCCCCTCTCTCTCTCTCTCTCTCTCTCTCTCTCTCACCGGAGTCTGGCTTTTTCCGGCCATCTTTTTAACAGTGGTAATTTAGCTCTTTATGCCCGGGTCCGCTAGTCGTATTACCCCCGTGCTATGCTTACCGGCCTCCTGGTTGACGCCGCCGCGTCCCACTGGTCGAGCGTCTCCGCTGCCATCGTTCTTGTTTGCGGGCGGCGTCAAGGGGGCCTTTGGGGGAAGAGGGGAGGTGAGGGGGTGGGGGCGGGTTAGGGACTCCAAAGAGAGATAGACGTCCCGGAGCTCCGCCCCTGCCGTAATCCTCTGCCCCCAAAGACTCCGTCCCCCCTTCCCGTTCCCCTTGGTTGCTTGCGAGCAATCTGGCCTACCACCCCCGCCACGATCTTTTTTTTCAATCTCATGAACCACTGCGGCCCACTGTCGCTGCCCTCTTCACCCCTTTGATCTCTGCCATGTCCGCTGCGGCGATCGGAGGAAAAGAACCTTCTTCTTCCCCTTTCCCTATTACTTTTTCTTACATTTGGATTTGAATTGGAGTTGAAATTCCCTTCTTCCATAAAGCTGTCCCTGCAATCGAAGCTATGGCCAGCCAGGGCAGTGGTTGCGACGTGGAGGAGAATGAGCTCGATGATGCAGAGATGGAAGAAAAAGATGAGCTGGGGAATTTGAGTGGAATAGCCAACCGGCGTCCTCCCTTTCGCGTCGGTGGCTTCGCCAGTGAAGCCGGAACAAGTAGCAGCCGCAACCATCACCGGTTCCTCGACCGTAGTAAGGTCAGGATCCTTCTCTGTGATGGTGACGAAAAGAGTTCCAGAGAGGTCTCTGAACTCCTCTGCAAGTGCTCCTACCAGGGTATAATAACCCTTCGCTAATCCCTGCCGTTTTTTTCTTACTTTTTTATAGTCCGTTTCCTATTGGAGTATGGATGCAATGGGTCGGAGGTTGCGTTCTTCTTTGTCCATGTCTGGGCATGCTTAGAATGCTCAGTGGATTGTCATAAAGCTCTTCCCTTGATTTCTTTCCCATTTTTCTCTCGGGTTGTGATATGGTTTGGAAGCCAATCGGTAGCCAATCTGGAAAGGCACCAAAAAAATCTCGATCTCTATTTCACGGGTATAGGAACGGGACCAGAGCGTCACATCTGTATCTCACGTGTGTGATGTATGTGTATGTGTGAAAGTGACGGCCACTTCATGTTATTCATGTTCCAGTTGTATCAGTGAGGACTGCCAGACAAGTTATCAATGCCCTGAATGCACAAGGATCTGAGATTGATATCATACTGTCTGAAGTCGACCTACCTGTGGCCAAAGGCTTCAAGATGTTGAAGTATATAATGAGGACCAAGGAATTGAGGCATATTCCCATCGTCAGTAAGTCTCTTCTATTTCTTACGTTTCTGTTGACTTTTGTTCTATTTTCACTTTTATGCGGAAATGTTTTTCCAGTGAACATCACCTGGATTAATGTGATGGAATCTGATGATGGATATTTCATCGACTGTACTGTATTTTGCAGTGATGTCTGCAAAAGATGAAGTTTCTGTTGTAGTGAAGTGCTTGAGACTTGGAGTAGCTGACTACCTTGTGAAGCCATTGCGCACAAATGAACTGCTAAATTTGTGGATACATATGTGGAGGAGGAGGCGCATGGTGCGACACCTGATATTGATTTGAGGAATATTTCCGTTACTCTGAGTTATCATTTCTCTTTCTGTGAGTAGGAAGGAGCAGATAAAACGTAGTGGTTCTATCTCTGACTTTACTGTTCATCTTGACAGCTTGATCTGGCAGAGAAGGACATTTGGAGTTATGACATTGACACATTAGTCTCTGATATGAGTGATGGAAATACAAACAGTACGTTAGTCTCAGATGATACAGATGACAGGTCCAGAACTGTGCTTGTAGAAATGGTCATGTCAAAGCGTCAAGAATTTGATGTGAGAGTGAGTAATATGCTGGCATTTTTCTTTTTCCTGGAAATGTAGTTGAGGTAGATTTTTGGTGTCAGTTCTTTTCACTTGTGTGAGTTTATTTTCAATCCCTTAAGAACTGCTCTCCTTTTCTTGAACAAGTTTAGAATTTATAACTGCTACATTGATTATGATAGAACAAGATGTTTCTATCATACGCAGCTTGTGCTGAGAGTTTTCGGTAGCAGCTTCAATGTTTCTCATTGTAATCTTATTCAAGGGGTTGTTCCCCAACTAAACTCATATTCTGCTCGATGAAGGCTCCTAAACTACCTAATCACAGACTTATTTCTTGTCCATTGTTATTTTCCCTAGAGCATGATATACCAAGGTCAGTTCTGTGAATCTGCCAAGTACTTGCTTTGACTGGCCAATATATGAGAGATTCAAGTGCTTTCGTTTTCAAGACTTGAACTAGTATTCAAAAACCCAGAACGAAAGTTCAAGGAAAAAGATTTGAGGTAGGTTTTCCTGTTGAGAGATTGGATGATACAATGGAATACTGATAGTTCAAGCAATTTTGTGTTTTATAAAACTTTTATAGAATATGTGGTCTTCAGTGGGTCCTACATGTTTCTTGTTTATGAGCTGCTTTTGTGCTTAGTTACGATTATCTCTGCACGGTCATTTCGATTGATGAGTTGGTCAGGAGTATGATTTACCATATGTGTTTTGTTGACAATGTTGAGCACTGAAGGCTTTGGATTTCGCTATTTTAAAGACACAAAATTTGCACTATGTAGAGATTCTCATCCGGTTGGATGGTCTTTCGCCACAGCAAATATTCTACCTGTTGACCAGTCTAGTGGGGATTTATATTCTGGCCCTCTCCTTTTGTATAGCAATAAAAACGCCACAAGAGGCTTCCATTCCTGGAGTTCTGGTATCTGTTTTAAATTCTGGTACCGGTACTTGTTGTCTGATTGCAGATATTCAATAATCGAATCCATCTGAGGCTATGGAAGAGTTGATTGTAGTTTCTTTCACTCTCTGGAGGGTTCTAGATAAGGTATTGTCCTGTCTGACTTCTTTGGAAACATTTTCAGATTCTCCTAATCGCCAGTGCTATTTAGCACTGAACTGGTTCTCTCTCCTCAGAGAGATGTAAATAGATGCTGTCTCTTTCTCCTATCGGATGTACAGAGTATCGGTGCTTCAATCAGTGAACTAGTTTTTTGAAGACCTCTGCTCCCGTAATGTTGGTTGCTTCCCTCTTCTTCCATACTATCTTGTCCCCCTTTGGTTCTTCCACTTATGTCTCACATGGCCAAGGTTGCTAGCACTGTAGAGATCAGAGGGTTTGAGTGCTTCATGAATCTTGATTTTCAGGCGTTACACAGAATAAATGGAAGATGTTAGGATGCACTGTAGTATGCGTGCTTTTATGAGATGGCCATCAAATAACATTAAGAGTAAGTTTTGGAGAAATTTGAAGTTATTGTAAGAGAATAAAATATTGCCTTCAAGAGTCTTTGTTAAGTTATTCCCGCTCTATTGTACAGGGGATTAATTGACTATCTTGTGAAGAAAAATGCAAAGAGAAGATGTGCTTATGAGAAGAACCTTGAAGGCAGCTGCAGTGGATTGAAGAAGGCAAATGTGAGGAGGAAATTTATAGTTGTGTTTTCCAGTTCAAAGTTGGGAATCCTGGTGCTTCAAAGAGAATTTCTAGAGTGATGCGGATTTCATTCTTGTTGACAATTGATTTCGGCCCATAAAACGAATTAGTTACCATCACTGGGTACAAGGGTTCAAGACAGCATAAACTATTAATTGATCTTCTGGAAACAAAGAGATGGGTGGCTGAAGCTGAAGATGGTTGATCGAGGCTAATAGTGGAGTAAAAAAGGGTGAGGAATGGAGTGGCCAATTGTTTGAGGGACATAGGTGTGTGATGATGATGAAGGAATTAAAGATATTTGACTTGGGAATTAATTTCTGAATGGAATGGGTAGGGACAGCATAGGTGGGTTCATACGCATATATATGTAGATCTATTGGTTTATGGGTCGCTAACTGAAAATTTGATTTGTCTGTGAGGAATCTCAACAGCTAAGAATGCATCTACTGGGTCTTGCTTATTTGGTCTTGTGTGGGCCTGATTGTATATCCTGTTGAAACCTTTCCATTTCCTTCTAGGTTAATGAAGAAAGGTTAGGCACGGTTTTGATGTATCTGAGAATACCTTTTCTCTTTTTTTCTTCATGGTGTCAGAGTAGGATGTATCACGTCTCCCCTTGTTCTCCTATCCAGTTTCTCACGTTGCTATCGACTATGGTTTCTTCCCTTCCTAAATCTCTTAATGTCTAACTCACTATTACTATCTACACTCAGCATCTAGCCCTAGCCTGTGGCATGGGTGTACTGCGTGTTGTTTCAACTGTGTGGCCATGTGATGCAAGCATGTGATGTGGGAGGCTATGAGTGAGGGGACTTGTTTGATTATGGGCTATAGTTTCCTGCTATCATTTTTTTGTATACAGAAGCATCACTACTTATTTCCTTTGGATCCTAAGATTTTGAATATCTGTTCTATTGGGGTGGATGGGGAGAGCTATCATAAGTGGTCTTAGTTTCACTGTATTCGATGGATCTGTTGGGTTGTGTTGGAAGTTCTAGGTTTTAAGAAAATACTGTAAAAGACTGAGGGAATTTTGGGACAATCGTCTAGGGTTCCTCCCTATATAAAGGGTGTTACAAGTGAATGAAAGGTGAGGTGATTGTCTGCTTCTCCCCTCTGTCCTCCATGACAAAGGTCATTCTTCCTGTGCCTACGTTTTCCAACAGCCTTAAAGATAAGTACCAGCTGGTTGATAGACAGCTATTATACGATGTCATGACTTCTTAACGGTGCAGAAACCTGGATTAGCATGCATGTGATTTTTTGAAGACGATGAAAATCTTGGTTGCTTCACAAAATCTCTGATTTAAAAATCCTATGAAAGATTTTTTATTTCTAGAAGGAGATCATCCTTTAAATGAACTATGCTATCCAGGACGGTTAAAAGGACAAAGAAAATTAGCATGCACAATTGGAAGAGTTTCGTATCACTAATCCCTTATCAAGTTTACTTCCCAATTTTTCTCACTTTTGGAGCCTTATTCTCGCTGAAGATATAGTTTCATTTTGGCATAGCATTTTTTCATGTCTCCAGCACATTACATTCTCACCCACTGCAACTTTGACTGAGAGTGTAGGTATAGCATCTACTTGTATTTATGAGTTGTTTCAAAGGCCTTCATGTTAGTGGCCCTGGAGGTCATGATTTGGCCCCACAATAGTGTTCATTCTGGTCGTAGCAGCAGTGTATCCGACATATTGTGGAAATTTCATCAAACTTGCTTGGAAAATAGCTTTCCAACACCTACGATGGATGGTGGTGATCAAACCATTAATTTAGTTGTCTTAGAATTGCAGTTTTTTTAATTTCAAATATAAGATATTTACTTACAGCCTTGAACTCTCAGCCAACCGCCACTGATGCTTCATGTTCAAAAACTAGTTCTCTCTTATCTTCCATGCCAAGCTCTGCACTAAGTTATTTTTTCTCTCAAGAACTGGCGATCAATCCTAATAATTTATGTGTAACACTGTTGGGGTTTTGATAGCAGCTTTGCACTAAACTGTCAAGGAAAATCGCAAACCATAATTTTTTCTATTACATTGTACGCTCTATGTCTGTATTAGGTTTCTACTGTAATTGCTAATTTGCAATAGCATGATTGACTTTATATAACATGAAATACGACTTAGCTGCTCCCTTTTGTTCATTCGAATTATGAGTAACTTCAGTAGCTATAGTTGCCGGTTTACACCTTAACTTTTTCATCTTTCTTAGAAACGTTACTTGTAAGTTCTCTTTATTCTGTGAATTTCTCCTTTGTAGAACTTTATATGACCTAGGAGATATGTGCTAGGGTCTTTTCATTATACTTTTATATGACATTCTTTTACTCGTTACTCCTTAGTTATTTCTCTTGACAGTCCACCAAATGCTTTCATTTCAAGCTCTTTTTCAATGCTGGTCTTTGATGATCTCGTTTTTCCTCATCAACCTGAAGGCTACTGTGCCCTTCACTAGTGATTCATCAATTTTACAGAGTCTAGTGCATATTCCATACTGAGCATTCTGAATTTGTAGGCTAGGTTTGAGGAAACCTATATTACTTTATGGGTAATAGGTACACTTTCCTTCAACTTCACAACTTCATAGATTTGTAATGTATACTTCTTCCATCGTTCTGTGCTTATTATGACTTTATTTACATCAAAGTGTAAATAGTCATGGGCATTGTAAGTTTATTTTAAAGGAAACATGTTAAGTAAAAATGTGTCCAATTCTTAACCCCCATAACTGGTTAAAAAATGTGTGTGCAATTCTTTATGTAGATCTCTATTTACTAAGGCATTACTTATGTCAACAATAGTAAAAGACCTCAGTTGATACTTAGATGATGGTCACTTGAACGATTTCAAGTTTGTCATATGTGAGAGATTACTGGTAACTTATTTTAGATTATGCATAAAGCCATTTTACCCTTAGATTGTATCTGAGAATAAGGTTAAATTAAGAAGCTTTAGTCAAGCTTTCTTTCATAGTGCATATATCCCTCATCTGTTTGATTGATCTTTCTGAATCTTTTACTATTTTTGTGAGAAATGATTTGGGGGAGATGCCTATGGCAAATACAAAGGAGCAGTTAGAAGGTAAGGGGTCTAGCGAACAAGTATATTTGGATATGCAATTCTTTTCATATTTTTCAATTTTCTTCTGGTCAATTCAGTGGGGACTTGGATAGGACAGGAACGTGAAGCTTAATGTCCTCTCAAAAGAAATCAAATGCAGGCACAACATGCACACCTCTTTACCATTATAAGTGAGATGGCCACTGTTATGGTGATCATCTCTTTCAGTGATACTTTCTTCGGCATTTACTGCTTCTGGTGTCCATTGCTACGGTTGCCTTATCATGTCAATTATCATGATTGCCTTAACTTGCAAATTATTGACACCCCTCTGAAATGAACATGAATGTTTGTTGACTTCCTGGCTGATTCCATCGTTTACATAAATCAGTGTGAAATTTGGCAACGAAATAGTGCTCTCATTCCAAATAAGTTCAACTAAATGCATTGATCAAAAGTTACTTGTCCAACGCAAACTGCGCTGGGAAATCAATGTGAATACACGGTATATGGAATGAATATCGTTGTTAAATGCACACCTGAATTCTTTACTCTTGATTACAAAGTTCAACAATCTATAGGTACTATAAGAAGGATAGTTTGCATTTTCATATGGCTAAGAATAATTTATGAAAAATAAATAATTTAGATTATGTTCTGCATATCACGTTGTTATCCAATCCTGTGCATTAGTTAGTAGTTCAACCTAAATCTAAAGTCAATATATTCTTATCTTGTGTAATCTACTATTGAGTCTTACATTGATAGATTTTCATGATCCTCATTTCCAAATTGTAGGAGTATTTGGTAGATGTTATTCCTCCATTTTGTGGTGCCAAAATAATTCTTAGTTAATAGCCTATCTTCACTCATGTAACGTACACCACTCCCAAAAAAATTGATGTCCATAAAATTTATAATTTCATGGAGAGGTTCAGCAGATCTGATTTCTATTCGATTTTATTTTCATATTGTCTCTATTAAGCACTACCCATTTTAATGAACCATTAGAGGCTGTAGCAAGTTATGATCTCAGCGAATTATTTGCAATGAACTTTTACTGGATACATGGTTAATGTTTCAACAAAGTCCGTAAATTAGCAAACTTGCAAATTTTATTGATGAGAAGGCATAAGTTTTACTTTCTATGTTTTTCCTTATTTGCAATACAAGGTCATTGTCAATGAAAGGTTTTTCGTTGTTGACTATGTTGATTATCTTTAGGTTCGTTGTCTTGATAATATACTCACGAGAGAGGTTTGAAGCAATCACGCAATAGGAAATAAAATGGAATATTGATGCTATATCCACAAGGAAATTTCTTTCTTCTGCTCTCTGTATGGTCATCCCTAATTTTTTGAAAAGGAAAACTTTTACTGCCTCACAAGGGTTTGTTCTGTTATGTCTAGATGAGAACTTGCTGCGTCTTCAATCTCAAAGTCCTCTTACTACTGCAGCCCGCCTTTTCTCAGAAAGTGAAACTCATGTCTCCAAATTTATTTTCTGAATTATTTCTTCCGTTAATAATACAGCTATGAATGCCTAGAGGCTTGACGTGTTCAGACCAATTAACCTGGATTAAGGATATAATATATCGAGTGAACAGTGCATGAGAGTCATCTGTAATTATGTTTGAGCTACTTTTTGGCCTGTGCTCATTTAGGTAGAATGCTCATTTATGTTTGAGTTACTTTTACTTGGAATGCTAGTTTAGATGGTCATATGTTTGAGTGCAGAAATGTAAGCAGATACATCATTCTGTTGTAAGCATGGATCTGACTATGAGTTCTGATGTCCATTGGATGAACTGAAAATTCGTTCTCTGTAATTCTAAAAAGTGATTCATAGTCATCAGAATGATTCTATGCCGATTACATAATTTGCATTCCAAGTGAACTATTTTACGGTTTATTGGGGTCCGATTACATAATTTGCATTCCAAGTGAACTATTTTACGGTTTATTGGGGTCCGATTACATAATTTGCATTCCAAGTGAACTATTTTACGGTTTATTGGGGTCCGATTACATAATTTGCATTCCAAGTGAACTATTTTACGGTTTATTGGGGTCTGATTACATAATTTGCATTCCAAGTGAACTATTTTACAGTTTATTGGGGTCCGATTACATAATTTGCATTCCAAGTGAACTATTTTACGGTTTATTGGGATCCGATTACATAATTTGCATTCCAAGTGAACTATTTTACGGTTTATTGGGGTCTTTAGGAGGATCAGATCTGAGTGAATTAGGAGAGAAACAGTTGTATTGATCCTCAACTTGGGACAATGTTATATAGATAGAATGTCAAGAAGGGAAAGAAGAATAAAAAGGGTGGGGAATGAATTCGAGAGGATTCCCCTGCCACTCCTGATTCCGAACTGTTCTATTCATCTGTTCCCCCTGAGGTGTTTTTATAGTCCTCACATGTGCTGTGCACGTGTTTCCCCCCCGCTCCTCATATGCCTATTATATGTTAGTAATGGGTTCGTAACAGTATATTGGGTGGTTCTATTGGCAAAGAAATCACATGGTTTCTGGACATCTTCACAGAAACATGCAATCTGATGATGACCATCACTCCTTTAAAGACAAGAATTAAATTGGTCCCATCTGACAATGTTGTAGAGAACAAATCAATCTATTATCCCTTTTCAGTATACGAAACCCTAATATGAATGCAAGCATCGCATCTGAGAAAGTCATTTATCTCTGAGTTTCCTTCTGAAAGGTTACACTGGTTTTTGTGCATTGAGAATGATTGTTCATGAAGCCTTAAATCTTTAGGAATTTAGTAGTTTTTGTACCTCAGCCATTTGATATTTCGATTGGAAATTTATGGGGCAAGATAATGTGATTATTAAATGTGTACATAATTTTTAGCATAAACATGCTTTTTTGTTTTATTTTGTACTGCAAAGACACGTGATATTTATATTTTTTGCCCACTTATTTGATAATAAATTCATACCTAACCGTAATTTTGGATATGCTTAAAGCTAGAGCTGTCCAGGCATTGTGCACTGTCTTGTTGTGTCACCTGGGCACTGTGATGCTGAACACGCCTGAAAAACCTTGATAATGCTCATTATACTGCTTCATCTCCTATTCATTTGTTGGGTATGCTGGCACTCATGCTGTAACTGTGGTGTATTCGTTGGGGTATTCTTTTGCATTCACAGTCATGTATTTCTACCCGAAAAGCAGATGTTAGACATGTGATCCAAACGTACTTGCAAATCAGTTGGGAATGAAAGCCTACCATGACCCTCTTAGTTGTTGATGTCTGTGATGTAGCGATTTATTTCCCCTTATTTATTTTCAGGACATAGAATAACTTTTGAAGATCTTTTCATCTTTTGTCTTTGGTTTAACATTCTAAACGACAGTTTCTTTTCATCTCCAGTCCAAGAACTCTGCTGTGGATGTTGAACCAGATAAGATGTCGAAACTGGAGTTTGACGTCCAGGAGGAGGACAAGTCCATGTCAGGTGGGATCCAGCATGATTTCTGTAGATCCATACCCAAGTATCCAGGTCTAGTTTAGTTATGTTCCATTTGTTAAGCACTGTTGACGATTTTATGTGCACTGCTGATTTCAGGGAGGATTTTGTCATGTCCAAAGAAAAATGAACTGAAGGTTGGCAAATCCTCGGCATTTCTGACTTATGTCAAATCAAGATCGCAGATGAAAAATTCTGCTGATGTTCCACTGCAGTCAAGAAGCAATGAGAGAGATCTTGTATCTTATGACGAACCAGGTTGTGTTGACAAGCATAGGGTTGCATCATGCCAGAGTGACGGGGACGAATCAGTTCATCAGGGTCGTTCCTCCTTGGGGTCTTTTCCAACCCCTGCTGATCTGAATCCCTCAGAAGGCCAGTCACCCTTTGCAGCGCCAACTCAAGCAGGTGATTTGCCACTCAACATTTCAGGTGATTCGCAAGTATATCAGCTGCCCTGTTTCTTCCCCAGGACGGTGACACAGAACTTGGTGCATCCATGCCCATCAGTGTACCATGGTGGCTTGCCAGCTGCACAGCTACGAGGTTCTCCAGTTGGGTACACACCGCTAATGCCTTGTGCTCGGGTTCCAGTGATATCCTCATTTCCTTACTATCCAGTTGCTCTGGGTACCCAACCAGAACAAGTGCCTTCTCCCCACTTGTGGACATCCATTCCCTGCTCGTCTACAATTGAGGTGAAATCTAGTAGAGTTGAGAGGAGGGAAGCAGCCCTTCTCAAGTTTAGGCTGAAGAGAAAAGATAGATGTTTTGACAAGAAAATTCGGTATGTGAATAGGAAGCGGTTGGCAGAGAGACGGCCTAGAGTGCGGGGCCAGTTTGTACGGAAGTTGAATGGTGTCAGTGGTGATCTTAATGAATGTCCCACTGGTGATGCATATTTTGAAGATGAAGAGGATGATGACGAGGGTGAAGAGGAATCTGTAGCTAGGGATGGTGGGCTTCCATTTTCACCTGAGCATGAGGATTGTGATTATTAATAATATTGTGGACAACTTATTACAACTGGTTCTTGTGGCCCTGATGGTTTTCTCATGCTTCAATCTTGATACTTGTGAACTTTCCACTTTCCACTCTGTACATTGCTCTCCCAAGGTTTGTAGTGTGTAGTTTTGGTCAAATGTTTTTGATATGTTATAGTAAAGTTTTGTATGGTCACAAATTTTAAGTCCACTTTTGTTCTTTTTTTCTCTTTGCTAACTTTGTACTTGTAGGATGGAGTTGAGAAAGATCAAAATGTAGCCTATTGAAATAAGTCAATTAGAAAGTATATGGTATCATATTTCTAGACGTGCTTAAATCTTCTCTTAAAACTATCTTCATAAAGGTCATTTGACATAAGCAAGAAATAGGGGCTCATATGTATTTTTGTTTTGATGTAAAAAATATACCCTTTAGATAAGTACAAATGTTATGCATGTTTGTTGTGCATGAGTCAAGTGATTGATACTCATTGAGTGTAGATGTATTATTGAATAAATGCTGTGTCCTCTAATATTTTGTCTTGTAAATGTCTTAATACTGATTGATACAGTGATGACTAGGTTTGTAATAGAGACTCATGTATGAAGACTTGATTTAGGGTTAAAAGGGTATATTGTTGCCTTTCAAGTCTTCATCTCATTGATAATTGGCATGTATTTTGGAATCTTTGTGTATGAAGAATTTTAAGGGAAATGGAAAATATTTATTTGTATTTTAATCATAATTCATACAGAGGATGTGAGAATAGTCATCAACTAAATAGTAGTTGTAGTTTTTCTTGGTATTGTTTCAACTTGAGCACATTTAACTCTAGAGTTCTTATGAGATCAAGTGACATTACATTCACTTGAGATGATTAGTTTATACTTTAGGATATAAAGTTTAAGATTTTAAGATATAGAGTTTTTTTTTGTTAGACTTTTGTTTCTTGGGCTGAACTTCCCAAGGGGTCACTCCTCTAATACTTCACACACCTTAGCACATTGGCTTAATAATTATCTTGGCATATACCCAAGCACATTGGCTTAATAATACTTCTTACCTTGGTACTTCATACACCCAAGCACTTTGGAGTAAGTGTCTCGCAGCACATGCAAATAGAAGGTGTTTCTGGACACTTTGGCAAAACTAGTGCCTTACTACACATGACAGTACCAAGTGTGTGTTTCACTATAGAGTTCACTCATTTGCATGAGTACACTTCATTATGGAGTTTTTTTCTTAGCTTCTTGGTAACTCACTTATTGATGAGGGTTATAGGATTTAGCATTTAAGTTTTAAGCTTTAAGGTTAAAATTTAAAGGTTTAGTATTTATGATTTTAAGGTTTAGGTTTAGGGTTTAGAATAGAGGGTTTTGACTTTAAAGTTGTGTTCAGGGTATAGAGTTTGGGGTTTAGGACTTGGGGTTTAGAGTTTGGGCTTAATTTTTTTATACAAAAAATAATTAAGAATTTTAATTGATAATCAAGAAAAGATATGTGGTTGGGATTTGTGCTTGAGTGGGCAAAGTCATTAATTTATTTACCATTAGCTCTAACACAAGCTTGCTTAACTTTAGAGTTCTTATGGGATCTAGTGGTAACACTCCTACTTAGGGGGGTTTGGGTTTTTTTTTTTTTTTTTTTTTTGGTGAAGGGTAGATAATATTGATGTTGATGAAGTGTTTATCCCTAAGCCTCATACGTGAGAACTAGGGGGAACAAGACATAGCTTTCTTTGGAAAGTGGTAAATGAAAGGTGAAGTGGTAGACATGACCGAGGTTGATCATCTTGGTTGAGACTATTGGGAAATCCTTCAATCCTTAGTGCAAGGATAGTTTTGTGTTGGTGGTGCTGCATATGCTAGGTTGTGTGCTAGTTGGGGGTTGACCTAGGTGATCTGCCACTGTCGAGGGACGACAAGTATCCATGTTCGCCGTATACGAAGTGTTGACATGCCGATCTACTCCAAATGATGTCGACCTTGAGCTTCAGCTAGCATCTCTTATCAAGAGGAGAATACAAAGCACAAACAAGTGCATACTATGTATAGTGAGCATGTCTATCATCTGGTTCCCTTCATGTAACTAGTGTGTAATGGTGTTGATCCTCCCTCTACAATATATAATGTCAGTCTAAGTACTCTTGAGCTGCCAATGAGAATAGGAACCTGCATGTAACATTTGAACAAGCACCTATGAGTTAAATTCTACAACAATATTATGGAGATTATGTTCCTCATAGAAGAGTGAACTATCACGTATTGCCATAGCCTCTATTGTGGTGTTAGTTTGAATGTTATAAAAATAAGAAAAGGCAAAGAGAGTACTCCCTGTATGATCCCATAAGATGTCTCCTCCTCTTGCAGGTCTAGGGTTCCTTCAGGCTGCTCCATTGATGTTCAACTTTAAGTATTCAATTGATGATAGTCTCCATCAGATGACTCGAGTGGAGATCTCTATGTGTGTATGTGTGGCTTTGACTCCCCAAGTCTTAAGGGCCTCACAAATGAAGGCCGAGCATGTCACTATAGATGACACCAAAGGATGGGTACTTTGTAGCCATTGTGTGACGTGTCTTATGATCTCTAAGGCACGTATTTGCTAACTTGTAAAATGAGAGAGATTTCACCCCTTTCATATTTCTCATACTATGTATGCTATAAAAATACATAGGTAAGGTTGGCTGATGTGACTTAGTCATTATATAGTAAATCATGTAAATTTAAAATTTATAAAACTAAAAAATATAATTTCTTAAATATTTAGAAGTATTTATAAAAAAATATATCAATTATAATTCAATAAAAAATTCAAAAATAGTGGTAATTTTCTAGGTCGATCACAAGGATGTAATTTAATATTTGATAATTATTTAAAATTTTCCTCAAAGAATACTATTTTTTATGAATTATATACTAGGAAATGAAAAGGAAATATAATTAAAATTCATGAAAAAAGGAAATAAGGGTGTGGACGTTAGGATGACATCAGCAAGCACCCAGCAAATGCGAATTTAGAAATAGTTTTCCTCAACAATTCTTACGTAAGTGATTACAGATGATTTAATTGATCAAATTAAGATTTATAAAAGCCAAAAGAATCATAATTAAATGAAGTATAGGTTGGTAAATTTAAAATCAACAAATTAACACTAAATGAAGTGAATATTAAATTGAAAATAGGAAAAAAGATTTCCAGTGTCGTGGCGACAATGTGTTGGTGATGCACCAAAATCTTGTGTGTTCGGGAGGATTGTCATGTAGTGTTTATAGCCTCGATGGCTCTCCTTAGACAAAGATGATGTGGGCAATCTCTAGATCTCCTTGCAAAGTCTAGAGATCAATGAAATAAGTCGTCAAATCGTCTTCGGCAACTATCACTCGACGGAGCAGAAAAATAGCGACTTTGCAGCTCTTCGATGGCTGTCACCTGATGGAGAGGAGCTAGATGGAGGTGGGGCACATATTAGGGAGCTTCATCCTTAGGTCCACATAGCAAGAGGAGGCTCTTCATCGCATCTAGTACGCTCTTAGGAGGTGGCGACTTGTCTCCTAGTGAATCGTTCTCTTCTTAATGACAACTTGTTTGTCGATCAATCGGAGATGCTTTACTCAATGGATTTACAATCCTTTTATCACGAATCATTCAATAATTTGAGTAACAATGCTTTGCGAATCGTGTTGATGAGATTTTTGCCGATGATCTAGCAATTCTGGTTACTTAATCATTCACCCACGATCTACAGAAAAGTCACAATAATCAAATAAAAAAATATGAGTTTTGGCTCTAAGAAGATTCAAACCTGCATTGATTGCCTGCCCTTTCTAGGGAAGGTGTGTCTCGAGTTTAGTCCTACATTACTTGTGCATCAAATTTTTGGGCAAATATATAGTAATATTACATTTGCTAGCAAGTTCCTTTCTTGCGCGTGTATGACCACTCCTTGCCCCACAACTGGCTAGCCATTGATGACGTGGAAGGGGAGGGGCACACACGTGCTCCTATCAATCTAAGTCACTCGAGCCCTTTCTTGCAACTCCTCCCTGATTGTGCTTCCAACCCGCTTATGGGCTTGGCTAGCTAGTGGGTCCCCCCCATTTTGTTTAATTTTTATTTTTATTTCTTTTTCTTTATTTATCTCAAAAGTAAGACTATAAAAATCATATAAATTTGTATAAAATCACATAATTATTCAAAAATTTACATTAATCAACTAAAAATCAATTTTCACACTTTAACATAAATATAAGTCTATTTATCATGAGTTAAGGCTAAAACTATATTATTTACTAATTATTAACTCATGATAGTGAAGACTATCATGCCCCTAGAACTTTGCGATGAATCAAAGACTCTCATAAAAATTTCTAGGGATGTAAGAGATGGAGAAGGATGAAATGCTAGGGACCAATTCAATAAGAGTTGGTTCCAACATTCTATAGTAACGACATTATGGAAAAATAAGTGGCCAATAATTTCACTACTCAAAGTGATGGGACAATAATGACACTTAAAACAGATGTTATGTCTTTTGATAGACATATGATCATTTGTAGGAAGTCTGCAGTATATTAATTTCCACATGAAGAAAGAGACTCAAGATACGATAGTAGGGTGCCAAATGAGATCTCCCCAAAACTACTTTGAGAAATGGTTTCTAAAGTAATTTCAAGAAGAACTACAAGAGAAACTCCCATCTAAGATAAGAGTCTAGATGGGCTGATCATCACTAGGACCCAACTCTATCAACAAGATCTCTAGTAGTAAATCTAATGAGAGTCTGTGCCTCTTGAAGAGTACACTAGTATCTTCATCAAGTGAGACGAGGCCAAGACGGCATTAAGAAAGTAGAGGAGGCTGAGGGAGTGTCTGCAAGCCAAGTGTCATACTGAGTATTGATAGTACCTCATCCCACTCACCATCAGATTAAAGGCCTCATCTACAGCCAATATCTTTGACAATCTTCTCATCATTTCTCTCCTTTTATGTCAATAAATTGGCTGGCCCAATTGTCATATTTGGCTAGCACAAAAATCCCTAGGGGTGATCTCGTTGTCTTCATCTGCCATATGAGTTCCTTTTAAAGCATGTCGAGGATATCCTCAGGATGTCTAATCCTTAGGCCACCCTTATCTACTGATTGCCATGTTTTCTCTCAAAAAACTCGACATTGATGATGAGGTCTATCGAGTTGACCATCTCACAAGAAGGAGGTACAAATCCGCTTCATAGATCATAAGATGGTGTCCGATACCACCCCATGTACCGCAAGAAGGTGCAAGGGCATACTCATGAGGACATGACATATCAATTAGATGCAACCCCCTGAGAATAGAAGCTGAAGCTTCCATTTGTCAAGTTTCTCTACTAGGGGGTTTGGGATATAAGGTTTATGATTTACTATTTAAGGTTTAGGGTTTAGGGTTTATAATTTTAGGTTTTTTGTTTTCTCCTTATAAGGGTGCTCATGCCTAGCACCTTCCTAAGCCTAGCATCCTTACAATTTTGGGTTTAGTGTTTTGACTTTAAGGTTTAGGGTTTTGAGGTTGAGGTTTGGGATTTAGCAAGTAGAGATGAGAATTAAGGATATTGAGTTTTCTTGATCTAGTTGATGTTGCATATTACTAGAATATCGATTAGGTGAATACTTGTGGGTTAACACATTATGATGATTTATAGAATGTGTGTAGATTGACAATTTGTTGATAATTTTTCTAAAAAATGTACAATTAATAACATAATTCTTTCTTTAAATCCTCACATAGAATGGTTCTAAAGGCATAGTGACTCTAGATGTTTTGCGTTTATGATTTTAGGTTTAGGTTTGGGGTTTTTTTCTTAAGGAAATTATATTGATAAATGATCCAGATATACAATGTTCAGATTGAGTTTTTGCAGACATTGTCTTGCAATAGAAAGGTCTATGACATTTTTCTGGACATATTCATTCACCCTTAGATATAAGGTCGTTATATAGTTTTGCTTTGTTGAGTGGTGGATTGGTGGAGCTGTTTACTCATGGACTCATCTAGGGGATCCCTTTGGGCTTTACTTTGTACCTTTCGTTCATTGGACCTTTTCGATTTGGCTGATATGTAATCTGTCATGATGGATTGGGCCCTCTTTCTCTCTAGCTCATCTTTCTCTACTTGGGCTTTCCATCTCTAGGCTCACATGTTTTGGGTCATGCCTTAAGTCAAGCACGTGTTTCAATGGTTCGTGCCTCTCAATGATTCCTCTGCTATCGAGGAACCACTTCCGAATTGGGTGGAGTCAGTTGCGTCTCCTCAGCACCAACTTGGTCCAAGGCCATTTTCACTGTTTCTAACCCTCTTCTTTTGTGGTCAAGTAGACTACCTCCTCCAGTTCATTTCCTTGCTCAGCTTGGGCTGTGATCATTTTCTATTTGTTTCTGATCCTCTATTCCAACACTTCTATTTGGGACCTACATATGACATCATATTCTCCCACAATACAAGATAGTAAATAGTGTAATTAACTAGGTGATAAACCACTATTCGGCCATGATTTAATGTGGTTTTAACCTTCTAAACTAGTTATCTCAATTCTCTATTTCTTTCTTTCTTTCCTTCTCTCTCCCTTTTAAACTTTCCACCTAGCATCCACATATTGTCAACTTTTCACTATTACCAACAAACCCTGAGACTAGCATCAATCAAAATCAAACTTTTCATCAAGTTCTAGGCATTATCTTACAACTTGGAGCCCCCTACTTGATCATTAACCTCCATCTATGCCTTCATTCAAATTGCAACAAGAAACAAAATCTTGTGTATTTGGGGAAGGAGGGTAACATTGTCCTCACATATTCATTTCCTCCTTTCCCCCACTTCTTCTCCCCTTTTTTTTTTGATGTGTAATGCTGTGGATTTTTTATTTTTTTTGGGGCGGGGGGCACAGGGGGAGAGAGAAACTTGCCAACTTTTGAACCTTTCACACCTCTTTTTTTCTTTTTTTTTTCTTTTTTTTAGGTCTGATCTTGCTCATGTTTTCTATGTTTTCTATTGTCAAAGTAGTCTTTTCTTTCTTTTCCTCCACATGATTTATGGTACTAGTGTTCCTTGTGCTATGTATAGCTACTTGTGTAACTTATTTACCTTATACTTTGTGGTTGATTGTTTGCAATTTCATCATCATCTAGTGTTCCTCTAGCTTTTATTTTTTTTTCTCAATATACAACATGTCCCATTGATATGACTTAGTCATTGTATAGTAAATCATATAAATTTAAATTTTATAAAACTAAAAAATACATTTTTTTTGATATTTAAAAGTATTTCTGAACAAATATATCAATTATAATTTAATAAAACTTCCAAAAATAGCGATAAGTTGATCATAAAAATGTAATATAATATTGGGTAATTATTTAAAATTTTCCTCAAAGAATACTATTTTCTATGAATTTTATACTAGAAAATAAAAATTAAATATATTTAAAATTCACAATAAACATAAATAAGGGTGTGGACATCATGATGATGTCAGCACCTAGCGAACATGAATCAAGTGGAAATAGAGTTCTGCTCGACGATTCTTACATACGTGATTACAGATGATTTAATTGATCAAATTAAGATCTGTAAAAGTTGGAATAATCGTAATTGAATGAAGTATATCTTGGTAAATTTAAATCACACAAATTATTACTAAATAAAATAGAAATTAAGTTGAAAGCAAGAAAATAAAGTTCTGGTGTCGCAGTAGCGATGCGTTGGCAATGCACCGAAATCTTGAGCATTTAAGGGGATCGTTGATGCAAGATGGGGCGAGAACCCCCTGTACCTGATCAATGAAACTCGAGACCCAAGATGGGGGAGCCGAGACTAATCTGATAAGAATGTTTGAACCCTAGACTCTAGGTCTGATCATGTAACCTAAGCACAGGTAGGCATACCAATATGCATGATCAACCTAGGACAACCTAGGGAAACACTTGACAATGGTAAGTGTGAGGCCCTCTCGGTCCATGTCCGAACAGATGGTAGAATTGTTGTCGTGAAGTAGCCTAAGGCTGCAGCTCACGAACTGTGACGAGTTTGGTGCAATGTCAGAAGTCATGATCTGATAATTGTCCTATCCTATCTACGTTCTCCTGATGGTAGTGAAAACCATGCCTTGAATTTTGCATTTAATTAGAGGAGCTCCTGGATCTCATCGCTTTGTTGGAATCTAATTTAGTAAAATCAAACTTACTGTTTCAAATAATTGAATGCATTTATGTTTCTTATCAAGAGTGCATAATCCTTTTAAAAATTTTGCATAAGAAGGAATGTGCTGGATTGCATCTATCAAAGGAATACTATTTGTGATGTTTAAAAATTTCTTAAATTTTGTATCTTGATCTATAATCTAGGGCTTATTTTCCTTTAAGGCTTTAGGGATATGGATTGGAGGCCTGTACTTTTTTGGATCAGGTTCTTCCTTCTCTTTTACTTTATCCTTACCTTTTGTCAAATTCAAATCTTTGGTTGTTGCTCTTGCTCATTCTCTGAATTTTCTGCAATCATAAAAGAAGGGTCAGATAAGATTTTTCCATTTCAAAGTTTGGAAATAGCATTGAGTGTTTCTTTGTCCTGATCATGGCAATCAACTTGATTGGCATGAATTCATCAAATTTCGAGGATTGATGGCTGGTTGCATTGGGAATTGGCTTGCTTCTCTATTGCTGTTGCTGATTTCTAGCTGCTTATGATTCTGCTTCTCAGATCCATTCAGATCAAATTGTTGTTTCCCCTCAATCTATAGTTTCATTTGTTCCATTTCTTGACGTAGCTTTTGTTGTTCTTGTAGCATCTGCTTAACAGCTCTTGTGCAGACAAATCAGATCCTCCTGCATGTGACTGTCAATGCTGATTCGAAGGGAAAATGATTCAACCAATATTTTCAAGACCCAAGGAAAATTATGGTCGAATCTCAATTTTTTTTTTTTTTTTGTGTATGTTCCTTTCTTGTGAACAATAATAGACAAAGATATATTGTGGAATGTCAAAGCTATGAAAAATAAGATGCAGCTTCATTTTAACAACATTGGGTTTCAATTTTCTATTATATTTTACATAGCGCTGAAATATGAGGTCTTTAACTTTGGCACCATCTGGTGGACATCAAATTCAGGCATTTTGAAAATAGAGATTCCACATCTCTAAATTTTTTTCCTCTAGATCAGTATGCCTATTTGCACAACTTATGAATGCCATCTACAGGTTTTAATTTCTCTGCAGATTTTTCTCATCCATACTTGTTTGTAATTAACATGTGATTGAAAGTTATGTGAATTCAAATGAGTAGTTCAAAAGTACCTTCAATATATCACTTATTTATCATCCACAAACTTCATGGCTTTCTATTGATCCCACTCTAGGAATAGAACGCTAGAAATATCTTGGTTGTTGATGTGACTCAGTCATTGTATATTAAATCACGCAAATATAAAATTTATAAAACTAGAAAATACGAATTTTTATATATTTAGAAGTATTTCTAAATAAATATATCAATTATAATTTAATAAAACTTCCAAAAATAGCAGTAACTTTCCAAATTGATCATAGGGATGTAATATAATATCTGGTAATTATTCAGAATTTTTCTCAATGAATATGATTTTCTATGAATTTCGTATTAGGAAATAAAAAAGAAATATATTTAAAATTCATAAAAAAAGGGAAATAAGGGTGCGGATGTTGGGATGACATCAGCACCTAGCGGATGCAAATCGGGCAGAAATAGAGTTCCACCTGGTGATTCTTGCGTAAGTGATTATAGATGATTTAATTAATCAGATTAAGATCTATAAAAGCCGGAAGAATCGTAATTGAACAAAGTATATTTTGGTAACTTAAAAACACAAAAATTATCACTAAATGAAGCATAAAGTAAATTGAAAGCAGGAAAACAAAGTTCCGACATCGCGACAGCGATGCGTCGGCGATGCACCGGAATCCTGAGCATTTAGGAGGATTGTCGTGCAATGTCCACGGCCTCGAAGGCTCTCCTTGGACAAAGATGACGTGGGTAATCTCTAGATCTTCTCGTGAAGTCTAGAGATCAATGAAGTGGGTCGTCGAATTGTCTCTGGCGGCTGTCACTCGGCGGAGTGGAAAAATGGCAACTTTGCGGCTCTCTAGCAACTGTCACTCGACTGAGAGGAGCTGGATGAAGGTGGGGCATGTGTTAGGGAGCTTCATCCTCAGGTCCGCACAACAAGAGAAGGCTCTTCATTGCATCTAATATGCCCCCAAGAGGTGGCGACTCATCTCCTGGTGGATCGTCCTCTTCCTAACGACAGCTTGTTCGTCGATCAATTGGAGATGATTTACTCGATGAATTGCAATCCTTTTATCACGAATTGTTCAGCAATTTTAGTAGCAATGCTCTGCAAATCGCATTGACGAGATTTTTGCCGATGATCCAGTGATTCTCATTGCTTAATCCTTCAGTAGTGATATGTAGGAAAGTCGCGATAATCAAATAAAAATTTATGAATTTTGACTTTGGGAGGATTCAAACTCTCGCCGATCGCCCACCTGTGAGGAAGGTGTGATGCGGGTTTAGTCTCACATCAGTTGTGCACTGATTTTTCAGGCGAATATATAGTAATGTTAGCTTTATAAGTAAAGTCACTACTCTCGCGTGTACGACCACTCCTTGCCCCATAGTTGGCTGGCCACTAGTGACGTGGAAGAGGAGTGGCGCACACGTGCCCCTATCGATCCAAGCCAAGTCACTCAAGCCCTTGCTCGCAGCTACTCCCTGACTACACTTCTGACCTGTTTGCGGGCCTGGCTGGCCGGCAAGTCCCCCTATTTTGGAATATTTTTATTTCTTGTTCTTCATTTATCTCAAAAGTAAGATTGTAAAAATCGTATAAAATCACATAATTACCCAAAAATTCACATTAATCAACGGAAAACCACAAATCATACTTTAACACAAATATAAGTCTATTTATCATGAGTTAAGGCTAAAACTATATTATTTACTAATTATTAATACATGATAATGAAGACTTATCAATTGTGCTTGCCAGCAATATGTATAATAAAAAAAATCCTCCATTATTGGCTCACCATTATTGTAGCGAATCTGAAAGCTTACGTGCATAAACTTGTTTATGGCCCAAATTAAAAAACTTAACTATAAAAATTCTTAAAGCAATGGTTTCTGAACATCAACTGGTAAATTTCAAGAATATATCTCAACAAAGAAAATGCATAGCAGAATATTTTAATGGAGCACAAAACACAAGGAGAAGAATGTGGAATCATTTTTCTCCATTTCAGAGATAGGCAAGCAACTTCGATGGAAAAAATTGCCAACATGTTCTTTAGTATTGATACATTGAAAGTTGATCATAGAAGGGGAGAGAGATGCAATGCTAAGAAATGTTTAGTAGATAATTTGGGAGAAGAAATTATGAGCACGAAATTTCAAGAAACTATTGACTGCTCAATGTATGTTCCTTTCTTGTGAACAATAGTAGATATATATATATTGTGGAATGCAGATATACTAAAGAAAAATTAGAATTACTCAAAGTCAAACAGAATGTTAAAGCTATGAAAAATAAGACTGCTTGATTTTAAAAGCATGTGGGTTTCAATTTTCTATTGTATTTTGCATAGTGCTGAAATATGAGGTCTAAGAATTTTGATTCCCCCCATGTGAGCAGAAGTCACCCAAGAATTTTGCAATGCAGTAAAACAGTAAAATAGTCACAAACATTTACACTGAATCTGATAATGAGTTGAAGCCACTTTAGAAATCAATAAGAGATGGCTTCCTTTATGGGAGACACTTGTAGATGAGGTGGGCATTGCATAGAAGATCAATAGATTGCATAACGACAATTGCATCCAATTATGTGGATTCACCCACCCAATGATGTCCTTGAGTTTTGGAATACTACATTTTTCTACAACACTGACCACGTGTATTCCATGAGAGAAGGAAGAAAAAATCTTTAAAATATTCAAAGTATGTCTTTCCTAGTGGATTTTGCAAATAGTGTACCACATAATAACTATACAATATGAATAATGTATCACTTTTCAATTTTAGGGTTAATCCTTGATAAGTCTTCATTATCATGAGTTAATAATTAGTAAATAATATAATTTTAACCTTAACTCATGATAAATAGACTTATATTTATGTTAAAGTTTGAAAAGCGATTTTTAGTTGATTAATGTGATTTTTTAGGTAATTATGTGATTTTCTACGAATTTAGATAATTTTTATAATAGGAGTTTGAGCGACTAAGACTGATAGGGGTATGTATGCACCACTCTTCTTCCACATCACTAGTGGCAAACCGACTGTGGGGCAAAGAGTGGTCGTACACGCAAGAAAAAGAGACTTACTTCTAAGTGTAATATTACTATATATTTGCCTGAAATTTCGACACACAAGTGATGTGGGACTAAACTCATGTCATACCTCTAAAAAAGCTTTGATGATTTTAATACCTACAATACCTTTATTTATAATAGCAATATACTATGATGTCTGCACTTTTATTTCCCTTTTTTGTAAATTTTAAATATATTTTATTTTCATTTCATAGTATAAAATTCATAAAAAATAGTATTATTTGAGGAAAATTCTGAATAATTACCAGATATTATACTACATCCTTGTGATTGAGTTGGAAAATTATTATTATTTTTGAAAGTTTTATTGAATTATAATTAATATATTTTTTCAGAAATACTTCTAAATATCTAAATATTTATATTTTCTAGTCTTATAAATTTTAAATTTGCATGATTTACTATACAATGACTAAGTCACGTCAATCCTCAATGATGGTAAAAACTAATATTAATTAATTTCTAAGTTTTCAAACATAAATACTAATTAAAAGAAAGGAACAAAATAAAATAAGATAAGAAAAATGATAATATTCTCCTCAATGTTCAATATTCTTCTTTCTCAATTACTTTCATAAATTTGTTTCGCTAATGTAGCTCTAGATAGTTAGAAAGAAGGTTTTAATGGTGAGATGATTAAATCAAGAATAGAGAAAAATAATTTAGTGATTATGAAATGAAAATATATGAAGTGTGATTGTCAATAGAATGACTTCTAAGAGTAAATGATGAAATAATTTAGAGAATGTTTGAAATAATTAGAACTAAGATAAAAAATTAAATTAAAATAATTGGAATGTAGAAAAACATTAGTTGTTAATCAAGAGTAAATTAAAATAATTAATTTTTCATAAAAATTAATTTTAAAACTATTACCAGACTTTGTTGTTCATCACATAGCAAAGTTCTTTAGATCTAAGAAAGTTTTAATTATCAGATAAAATCCAAATTAAATTATATAACCTTGAATAAAAATATTTTCCTTTCTTGAAGAACAAAATACTTAGATTAATTTAATTCGAAAATAAGATCTCTCTAGTCAATGCTTGTCACCCAAAGAATAAAAAGACATAAAATAAGATTAAAAAAATTAAAACACATAACCCTATTGGTCACACACCCCTTGACCTCATTCCTTGCTCTCCAACCTACTTCCATTGCCTTTATGTGCCTCCTGACCTCCTAACTTCCAACCCACCATCCTCCTTTATTATTTTATTATTTTATCATCATAAATTCACAAATTTCAGAAAAACATATTTTTTTTGAAAATTTCCTTAAAGTTTAAATAAAATCCCAATTATTAAATTTCTTTTACAAAACATCTCATCTTGGAAATTCTAATATTAAAATTTTATATTTAACCAATTTAACTCACAATCACATTTAACCTTTTATTTTCAAATAAATATCAATAAATCAATGTAAATGCATAAAACTTTGTTTTTCTAAAAATTTATATCAATATGTATTTGTTAATAAAATAAACCATAAACATAGATAAAAATTGACATCTTAGTTATATAATTGAAAGGATTATCAGGCACGTTTAGCTAGCTAACATATACTTAGCAACATATGCCAAATTGTGGTGGAGGATGAGGGTGGACAAGTCATACTCCCCCTAAATAACTAGTTCACCTATGAGTTGAGGGAGCAGTTTTGACCCACCAACAATTAGTGTATGGCGAGGATGTCTCTTCAACAACTTCATCTAATGGGGACTATACAAAAAAATGTGAAGAGGTTCTCTCTAGTCATCCTCAACATCAAAGGTATGTTAGAAGAGGATAAGGTAGTCAACATTGAGGTGCTGACCACCTCTCTTCAACAATGGTAGATGTCAAGAGGGGCCTGACGTGACTCAGTCGTTGTATGTTAAATCACGCAAATATAAAATTTATAAAACTAGAAAATACGAATTTTCGGATATTTAGAAGTATTTCTAAATAAATATATCAATTATAATTTAATAAAAATTCCAAAAATAGCGGTAATTTTCCAGGTCGATCATAGGGATGTAATATAATATCTGGTAATTATTTAGAATTTTTCTCAATGAGTACGATTTTCTTACGAATTTTATACTAGGAAATAAAAAGGAAATATATTTAAAATTCACGAAAAAAAGGAAATAAGGGTGCGGACGTCAGGATGACGTCAGCGCCCGGCGAACGCGAATCAGGCGGAAATAGAGTTCCGCCCGGCAATTCTTACGTAGGCGATTACAGATGACTCAATCAATCAAATTAAAATCTGTAAAAGCCGGAAGAATCGTAATTGAACAAAGTATAGTTTGGTAAATTAAAATCAACAAAGTATCACTAAATGAAGCATAAATTAAATTGAAAGCAGGAAAACAGAGTTCCGGCGTCGCGACGATGATGCGTCGGCGATGCACCGGAATCTTGAGCGTTCGGGAGGGTCGTCGTGCAGTGTCCACGGCCTCGAAGGCTCTTCTTGGACAAAGACGACATGGGCAATCTCTAGATCTTCTCGCGAAGTCTAGAGATCAATGAAGTGGGTCGTCGAATCGTCTCCGGCGGCTGTCACCCAGCGGAGCAGAAAAACGGCGACTTTGCGGCTCTCCGGCGGCTGTCACCCGACGGAGGGGAGCTGGATGGAGGTGGGGCGCATGTTAGGGAGCTTCATCCTCAGGTCCGCGCAGCAAGAGGAGGCTCTTCATCGCATCTGGTACGCTCTCAGGAGGTGGCGACTGGTCTCCTGGCGGATCGTCCTCTTCCCGACGACGGCTTGTTCGTCGATCAATCGGAGATGATTTACTCGATGGATTCGCGATCCTTTTATCGCGAATCGTTCAGCAATTTTAGTAGCAATGCTCCGCAAATCGCATTGACGAGATTTTCACCGATGATCCAGCGATTCTCGTTGCTTAATCCTTCACCGGCGATCTGCAGGAAAGTCGCGATAATCAGATAAAAATATATGAATTTTGACTCTGGGAGGATTCGAACCCGCGCCGGTCGCCCCGCCTCTTCTGAGGAAGGTGTGGATTTAGTCCCACATCGGTTGTATGTTGAGTTTTCAGGCGAATATATAGTAATGTTAGCTTTGTGAGCAAAGTCCCTTCTCTCGCGTGTACGACCACTCCTTGTCGCACAGCCGGTTGGCCACCGGTGACGTGGAAGGGGAGTGGCGTACGCGTGCCTGTCGGTCCCCAAGCCAAGCCGCTCGAGCCCCTGCTCGCGGCTTACTCCCCGACTGTGCTTCCGACCCGCTTGTGGGCACGGCTGGCTGGCAGGTCCCCTCATTTTTGCAATATTTTATTTTTATTTCTTGTTCTTCATTTATCTCAAAAGTAAGACTGTAAAAGTCGTATAAAATCACATAATTACCCAAAAATTCACGTTAATCAATTGAAAACCAAAAATCATTCTTTAACACAAATATAAGTCTATTTATCATGAGTTAAGGCTAAAACTATACTATTTACTAATTATTAACTCATGATAATGAAGACTTATCAGGGCCAAATAGCAAGAGATCTAAGGAAGGAACTCCAATGGAAACTGTGGCAAGACCATGGTACAACAACTAGCAAGGGTCAAGGAGGACCCAAGATGGCTACAATAGCCATGCAAGGGCACAAAGGGGTGCTGCTGTGCAAAGGGCTGCACTTGAGGAAGGACTGCCTAAAGGGAATTGTCAACATGATGACAACACAAGAAGAAGTTGAGTATACACCAACTCTAAACCCCCTATAGGTGCTAGGTGTATAATGACAACACCAAGACTAGGTGGATCAACAGAGATAAGCTGATCTACATGGAGATCACCATCAATGATCAAATTATGCTTGCAATGGTCGATAGTGGGGTGACCCACAACTTCTGCTCAGAGAGGCAACACATATGGGCCTAATGTTATCACAAAGAGACAGCCAAAGGAAGGTCATCAACTCAGTGGTGGCATGTACCCCGCTTGTTGGTTGGCCAAGTCCCTATTTTATCTCCAAAGTAAGGAGGGCAAAGAGGACCCTATATTTGCACCCTTGATGCAAGATGAAGGGCTTGTAGGAGTGCACACAATAGATGCAGTGCTCACCAGAGAGTGGGCTGTGGTGGGGGAGGGATGTCACAACCCTAACTAGTTGGCTCGAGATTCTAGTAACAAAATCTCAACACATGCCTAAAGAGTAGGCACACAAATTATCACTAAATAAAGTGAAAATTAAGTTGAAAGTAGGAAAATATAATTCTGATGTCGTGGTGGTGATGCGTTGGTGATGTACTAGAATTCTTAGTGTTCGGGAGGATCATCGTGTAGTGTCCACAACTTGAAAAGCTCTATTTAAACAAGGACAACATGGATAATCTCTAGATCTTCTTATCAAGTCTAAAGATCAATGAAATGGGACATCGAATTATCTCCGGTGACTGTCACCCAATGAGTGGAAAAACAATGACTTTGGGGCTCTCCGGTGGTTGTCACCTGATAGAGAGAAGCTGGATGGAGGTGAGGCATGTGTCAAGAAACTTTAGCCTCAGGTATGTGTTAAAACTAGATTTTTGTATTTTAATTAGTTTTATTATTTCATTTTATTTTTTTAACTTTCAAAATAAATATAGGATATATTGTTAATTTCAAAAGTCTGAAGTTAAAATATTTAGCATAATTTTTTATTATTAAAATAAAAAAACCTTGCACCCACAAGCCAGCTGGCGCTCAATAGTTGACTAGGATGGGGGGCAGCAGTCAAGTAGGTAGACTCAAACTAGGGGAGCCACAAGCTGGGCTCAAGTGGCAAAGGACTCGCTGAGCATATGTGTGTGTTGCTCCCGTTCTACATCTCGGTGGCCAACCAGTCATGGGGCAAGGATCGCCTATACACACATGTGCACACAAGGGCGAACCACCTTACTACCTTTCTCCCAAGATGGTCCTAAGCATTATTTTATTTTGGGAGAAAGGATCTCTATTGAGAGACCATAGCTTTAGTTTATGATTGGCATATGGTCTGAAATATTTTCAATGTGAGACTAAATGTTTTCATTTGTTTCAGCATAGCCATCTAGAGCGTAGTGTGATCTAGCAGTACGTAGAGAGCCACATCATTCAATTACCCTGATCCTATGGCTGGAGAATCCCCACGATACCAAATGCGTAAAGAGATTCATCGGCAGTTCGTGAATCCGGCACCGCTCAGCACACACATGGCCTTAAAGGATGATCCGATGGCTACAGAGGTGCCACAATACTAGAACTTAAGTTCCCGATCAGCAGTGGTTTGTGGCTAGTTCATCCTACATCACTCAATGTCCCACATACCAAGCTCATCTAATCTAGCAATTGTCAAAGCACCATGATACTGAGAACTTAAGTCTTCGTATCACCATCAAGGACATAAAGACAATAACTAATTATTATCTAGTAAAATAGACATTATCAATTATCTTTAAAATCCCAATGACAGTCGTGAATATGTAATCTGATCTTCCCTCTTTTTTTGCGATCGACATTTTCAGCGATCGACAAGCTTCTTTCTTCCTCCCCTGACTACACTTATGGCTTCTAGTGAGTGGTCAGCTCTTTCCTTCTCCCCCCAAATGACGGTGACAGCGTGGTTGACCCCTCTTTTGGTGGATCGCTCCAGCAAGCAGTGCAGCACTTTGAAACGATACTTCTACAACTTGCGGCATGGTGTGACACGTCCGAACAAAACCAAGCCACTACACTAGTGTCTCTAGTTGCCCAAGAGGCAAACTAAACTTGGGCAACAATTTAGTTTCTATTTTTAGCATTTACCTACTTGATTTTGTCATTTATTTATATTTTACCACAAGTTCTTTCTATTTCATACATGTTTCGATTGAAATGAGTAAAACTAATTCAAAACTTGATGAATGATCGTTATTTTTCTTCTAAATCCTCCAAAGCTCATCTAAGATTAAGTTAAGATTGTTTCAACTCTTTTTCTATTGGTTTTTACAATCAGATCTCAACATATTCATGTTCTCAACGTTCTACAAATAATGAGTATTTTTTTATTTTCGAACCTCAAAATTCCTAAGATTAAAGGCTGATTAATGAGCATTCAATGGTTAAAACAAGTTGCAGACATTCATGGCTGACCTCATGTCATGTGTGTGAATCCTCAAGCTTTGAAAAAATAGGTTGATTGTATTTCTCTCTTTCTTCATTTTCATCTTATTTCTCTCTCTACCTCACTCATGAGACCTCTCTTCTCTTTCCATCTCTCATGAAATCTTTCCCTTTCTCTCCCTTTCTCTTAGTTGATCTCCTTTTCTTTCTCTCCCTTGATCGATCTCCCTCTCTCCTCCTCTTTCCTTCTCTTCCTTTCATGAGAGATCTGACATGACTTAGTCATTGTATAGTAAATCACGCAAATTTAAAATTTCTAAAACTAGAAAAAATGAATTTTTAGATATTTAGAAGTATTTTTGAACAAATATATCAAGTATAATTCAATAAAACTTTTAAAAATAGTAATAATTTTTCAGGTCAATCACAAGGATGTAATATAATATCAGGTAATTATTTAGAATTTTTCTCAAAGAATACTATTTTCTATAAATTTTATACTAGAAAATAAAAATTAAATATATTTAAATTTTACAAAAAAGGGAAATAAGGGTGTAGACGTCATGATGATGTCAGCACTTAGCGAACACGAATTGGGCAGAAATAAAGTTTCACCTGATAATTCTTACATAAGTAATTATAGACGATTTAATTGATCAAATTAAGATTTGTAAAAGCCAGAAGAATCATAATTGAATGAAGAATATAATAGTAAATTTAAATCACATAAATTATTACTAAATGAAGCAAAAATTAAGTTGAAAACAAGAAAATAGAGTTCTGACATTACAGCAGTGATGCGTCAACGATGCACCAGAATCTTGAGCATTTAGGAGGATAGTCATGTAGTGTCCACGGTCTCAAAGGCTCTCTTTAGACAAGGACGATGTAGGCAATCTCTAGATCTCTTTGTAAATTCTAGAGATCAATAAAATGGGTCGTCGAATCATCTCTGGTGGCTGTCACCCAACAGAGTAGAAAAATAGTGACTTTGTGGCTCTCTAGCTACTGTCACTGATGGAGAGGAGTTGGATGGAGGTAGGGCGTGTGTCAGGGAGCTTCATCCTCATGTCTTCACAGCAAGAAGAGGCTCTTCATTGCATCCAATATGCTCTCAAGAGGTGGCAACTTGTCTCCTAGCAGATCATCCTCTTCCTGACGACGGCTTGTTCGTCGATCAATCAGGGATGCTTTACTTGATGGATTCACGATCTTTTTATCGTGAATCGTTCAATAATTTTAATAACAATGCTCTGCGAATCGTGTTGACAAGATTTTTCTCGATATTCCAGTGATTCTGAATGCTTAATACTTCACCGGCAATCTATAGGAAAGTTGCGATAATCAGATAAAAAAATATGAGTTTTGGCTCTAGGAGAATTCAAACCGCATCGGTTGCCTACCCTTTTTGGTGAAGGTGTGACTCACGTTTAGTCCTACATCACTTGTGCACTGAATTTTTGGGTGAATATATAGTAATATTACATTTTCAAGCAAGTTCCTTTGTCACACGTGTATGACCACTCCTTGTCCCACAAATAGTTGGCCATCGGTGATGTGGAAGGGGAGGGGCACACACATGCCCCTATCGGTCCTAGTCGCTCGAGCCCCTACTCGTGGCTACTCCCTAACTACACTTTCGACTTGCTTGCGAGCCTAGTTGACTAGTAGGTTCCCCTCATTTTATTTTATTTTTATTTTTATTTCTTTTTCTTTATTTATCTCAAAAGTAAGACTATAAAAATCAAAGAAATTTGTATAAAATCATATAATTACTTAAAATTCACATTAATCAACTAAAAACCACTTTTCACACTTTAACATAAATATAAGTCTATTTATCATGAGTTAAGGCTAACACTATATTATTTACTAATTATTAACTCATGATAATGAAGACTTATCAAGATCTCATCTTTTTTCTCTCTCTCGTGAGAGCTCTCTCTCCTCCTCTCTCTTTCTCTCTCTTTCACGAGAGATCTCATCTCTTCTCTCTCTCGTAAGAGCTCTCTCTCCTCCTCTCTCTTTCTCTCTCTTTCATGAGAGATCTCATCCCTTCTCTCTCTCGTGAGAGCTCTCTCTTCTCTCTTTCTTCTCTCTTTCTTCTCTCTCTCTTTTCCTCCTCCTTCCTTTTCTCCACATTCTTTCCTTTATTATTCTCACCTCACCATTTTATTTCATTATTCCCATTAAATATTAATAAAATATTTAAATCATTTTATATATAAACTTAATTAGTTTTCACAACAAATTAATCAATCTCCCTATATTTGACCTAAGGCTTACTTCTATACTAATATTTTATTAAGTCTTAGTTATAAATATATGATTAGATAGTGTGCATTTAAATGCAACAACAAGTGCACACTATCTTGTTGGTGTTGTTGTTAGGGAGATTTGTTATTAATTGATGTTAATTGATTTAGTTTTTCATATTTCAGTGATTTTGAAAATATATATATATATATATTATAGTTTTTATTATTTTATTATTTTCATCTAATTAGTATTTTAAAAACTAAAAAAATAGTTTATTAGGCTCATTTGATTTCTATTTACATTTATTTCATAATTTCGAATTTAAAATCTTTGGTTTCTGTTCATTTACTTGAGTATCTTTATTTTTCATTGATTCTATACTCCTCTTTGACATATTTATTAGAATCATATCTTCATGTCATGATCATTGCTAGGTTTAAATTTTGAAAAATTGATTTGTAAATGGTAGACGCAGCTTGCAACCAATCTTAGAAAATTCAGCAACTAACCAATCTTAGAATTTAGGGGCACAAGAAAAACGAATTGTACTACTCATATTAGAGACTCCAGCAATAGAAAAAGGAAAACAAATATTTTCTATATGATAAGTCTTCATTATCATGAGTTAATAATTAGTAAATAATATAGTTTCAGCCTTAACTCATGATAAATAGACTTATATTTGTGTTAAACTGTGAAAAGTTATTTTCAGTTGATTAACGTAAATGTTTGGGTAATTATATGATTTTATACAATTTTATATGATTTTTACAGTCTTACTTTTGAGATAAATGAAGAAAAAGAAATTAAAATAAAAATAAGAGAAAATAGGGGAACCCGCTGGCCAGTCGGACGTGCAAGTGGGTTAGAAGTGCAATCAGGGAGTAGCCGTGAGAAGAGGCTCGAGTAGCTTGGACCAATAGGGGCACGTGTGCCCCACCCCCCTTCTACGTCACTAGTGGCCAGCCGGCTGTGGGGCAAGGAGTAGTCATACATGCACGAGAAAGGGACTTGATCTAAAATGTAGTATTACTATATATTCACTAGAAGTTTCGGCGCACAACCGATGTGGGACTAAACCTGTGTCACACCCTCTCTAGAAAGGGCGGGGGCAACTGGCGCAGATTTAAATCCTCTCAGAGTCAAAATTCATATTTTTTATCTAATTATTGCAACTTTCTTGTAAATTTCCAGTGAAGGATTAAGCAACTAGAATCGTTGGATCATTGGTGAAAATCTCGTCAACACGATTCGTAGAACATTGTTACTAAAATTAATAAATGATACGCGATAAAAAGATCGCGAATCTATCGAGTAAAGCATCTCTGATTGATCGACGAACAAGCTGTCGTCGGGAAGAAGACAATCTGCCGAGAGACAAGTTGCCACCTCCTGAGAGCGTACCAGATGCGATGAAGAGCCTCCTCTTGTTGTGCAGATCTAAGGATGAAACTTCTTGACACATGTCCCACCTCCATTCAACTCCTCTCTATTAGATGACAACCACCAAAGAGCTACAAAGTCACCATTTTTCCACTCCGTCGGGTGACAGCCGCCAAAGATAATTTGACGACCCGTTTCATTGATCTCTAGACCTCGCAAAGAGATCTAGAGATTGTTCACATCATCCTTGTCCAAGGAGAGCCTTCAAGACCGTGGACACTACATGACTATTCTCCTAAACACTCAAGATTCCGATGCATCACTGATGCATCGCTGCCGCGATGTCTGAACTTTATTTTCCTACTTTCAACTTACTTTACGCTTCATTTAGTGATCATTTCTGTGATTTTAATTTACTAAAATATGTTTTATTTCATTACGATCCTTCTGGCTTTTACAAATCTTAATTTGATCAATTAAATCATTTGTAATCGCTTACGTAAGAATCATCGGGTGGAACTCTATTTTCGTCGGATTCGTATTCGCCAGGTGTTAATGTCATCCTAATGTCCGCACCCTTATTTCCCTTTTTCGTGAATTTTAAATATATTTTATTTTCATTTCCTAGTTTAAAATGTATAAAAAATAGTATTCTTTGAAGAAAATTCTGAATAATTAACAGATATTATATTACATCCATGTAATCAACTTAGAAAATTATTACTATTTTTGGAAGTTTTATTAAATTATAATTGATAGATTTGTTCTGAAATACTTCTAAATATCCAAAAATGCATATTTTCTAATTTTATAAATTTTAAATTTACATGATTTACTATACAACGACTAAGTTACGTCACTATAGAAGTAGAATCACCTAGGATGGATCATCCAGCCCAAGAAAGTGAGAATATTGAAAATACTCAACCTTATAAACCCATATGTGATTATTATACACCTGATTTATATAGACCTACTTTGCAGGTTATACCTCTTATTTTGCCAAATGTTCATTTTCATATTTTTCATCACACTCTTCATATGTTTCCTAAATTTCATGACTTAGCTAATAAGGAATCACATCAGCATACTCTTCAATTTTTAGTTGCACGTGAACTTACTCATATTCTTAATATTCCTCAAGATGTACTTAGGTTACATCTTGACGTGACTTAGTCATTGTATATTAAATCACGTAAATCTAAAATTTATAAAACTAGAAAATATAATTTTTTAAATATTTAGAAGTATTTATGAACAAATATATCAATTATAGTTTAACAAAACTTTTAAAAAATAGTAGTAATTTTCCAAGTCAATTATAGGGATGTAATATAATATTTAGTAATTATTCAGAATTTTCCTCAAAGAATACTATTTTTTATGAATTTTATACTAAAAAATGAAAAGAAAATATATTTAAAATTCACAAAAAAAGGAAATAAGGGTGCGGACATCAAGATGACATCAGCACCCAACAAATGCGAATCGAGCAGAAATAGAGATCCACCTAGCGATTCTTATGTAAGCAATTACATATGATTTAATTGATCAAATTAAGATCTATAAAAGTGAGAAGAATCATAATGAAATGGAGTATATGTTGGTAAATTTAAAATCAATAAATTATCACTAAATGAAACGAAAACTAAGTTGAAAGTAGGAAAACAAAGTTCCAGTATCGCGACAGCAATGCATTGGCGATGTACTTGAATCTTGAATGTTCAAGAGAATCATCATGTAGTGTCCATAGCCTCGAAGGCTCTCCTTAGACAAAGACGACGTGGGCAATCTCTAGATCTCCTTATGAAGTTTAGAGATCAATGAAATGGGTCATCAAATCGTCTTCGGCGGCTGTCACCTGGCAGAGCGGAAAAACAGTGACTTTGCGGCTCTCTGGCGACTATCACCCGATGGAGAGGAGCTGGATGGAGGTGGGGCGCATGTTAGGGAGCTTCATCCTCAAGTTTGTGCAGAAAAAGGAGGCTCTTCATTGCATCTAGTACGCTTTCAAGAGGTGGCGACTTGTCTCTCAATAGATCATTCTCTTCTCGACAACGGCTTGTTCGTCGATCAATTGAAGATGATTTACTCAATGGATTCGCGATCCTTTTATCGCGAATCCTTCGATAATTTTAGTAACAACGCTCCACAAATCACGTTGCGAGATTTTTGCTGATGATTCAGCAATTCTAGTTGCTTAATCCTTCACCAGCAATCTGCAAGAAACTTGCGATAATCAGATAAAAATATGAATTTTGGCTCTAGGAGGATTCGAACCCACATCGGTTGCCTACCTCTTCTAAGGAAGGTGACGGGTTTAGTCCCGCATCAATTGTGTGCCAAATTTTTGGACGAATATATAGTAATGTTATATTTCTAAGCAAGTCCCTTTCTCACACGTGTATGACCACACCTTGCCCCACAGTCGGCTGGCTACCGGTGACATGGAAGGAGAGTGGCACACACGTGCCTCTATCGGTCCAAGCCGCTCAAGCATCTGCTCGCAGCGATTCCTTGACTACACTTTCGACCTACTTGCAAGCCCGATTGGCCAGCAAGTTCCCCCCATTTTGCTATATTTTAATTTTTATTTCTTTTCTTTCATTTATCTTAAAAGTAAGACTATAAAAATCATATAAAAACTCATAATTACCTAAAAAATTATGTTAATCAACTAAAAACTACTTTTCACACTTTAACACAAATATAAGTCTATTTATCATGAGTTAAGACTAAAACTATATTATTTACTAATTATTAACTCATGATAAAAAAGACTTATCACACCCCCTAATTTAAATCATTGCTAGTACCTTAGCAATTAAATTATGAAAATAAAAATTTACAAATCTCAAACATCATATTTTAATATATAAAAAAAAATACAATTAAAAATGATGCACCTTTAGACACTTTGGACTCTTATATCAAGTATTTAAGAATGATGCCAAGCACTTAAATGTTTAAACACTCCTTAGAATAACAATCTAGACTTCACTTCTTCTATTCACATCTTTATCACTTCTTTACTCATAGATGCATTTACAAGATGTTCTAATTATCAATACTCATCCAAAAATAATCTTGATCCTACATTTCTCTTTTTCTATAGCTTGATTTTTGAAGTTTGTACTATATTTCTTCCTTCTTTTTTTTTTCTTTTTTTTATATATATAGTGGATAAGTAGCTTTTCCTGTAGACAAATTTTGACAATAAGAATGATATCTCAAACCTTCCATGTGTACTCTTCATTTTCAGGGCTTTCACTTTATTCACTTATTTTGCAGCAAGTGTTTTTCTATACACAATTTTCGACAATGAGAATGATGTCTTACACCCTCTATGTGTACTCTTCGTTTTTAGATTTTTCACATTGCTCTTTCTTTTTTTTGAAATAAGTGATTTCTCCTCATAGGTCCTACAAATCAGAGTGCAAAAATCTCTATTAAACTCAAATGATCAATTAAATTTTCACATTGAGTAAATACTATCCATCAAGATCATGAAGTGAAAATCTGTAAAATCAAATCCATGTTATCTATCATGTATCCAAGGAGTATTCCAACATTTCATGCTACTAGATCATTCTTTTGACTCAATAATAATCTTCTTAGTATCTTTTGGTATCAATCAATCTAATTGATTTAATTTTACATGTATGCAATATGATGTAAGAAATTTGTAAATTAGATAGTTCTCACAGTTCTATTTTCTATTTTCAATTCTATTTTTAGTAACAATAAATTTGTCAAAAATAAATTAAATTTATCTTCTTTATAGCTGTAATTTCGAATTTTAGTAATATATGTCTAGGGGATTGAAATGTGAGAAAAGGGTCTCTAGAATTTCAAATTTTGGGCTGTTTTTTGTCTACTATTTTTGACAGTATGTTGTTCCTAATAGAAAACCAAAAAATAGATGTTGCAGTTTTTCTAAATTTTATTTTATTTTATTTTATTTCAGTTGTTGTTCTAATGCAAACATATGTTCTTAATCGTCCTACAGCATAAATTAATCATGAATAATTCACCCCCCAACTTAAAAATGACATTGTCCTCAATTACACAGAAAAATCAAAACAAAATATGCAGAAAATATAATTTTCAAGTGAAGCATGCATATATATAAAGTTAAATATTAAATCAAAATAGAATATACAGAAAATATTAATTTTCAAGTGAAGCATACTACTATCATTCTGTTGACTAAATAATAATCTTCCTAGTATCTTTTGGTATCAATCAATCTAATTGATTTAATTTTTCATGCATGCAATATGATGTAAGAAATTTCCAAATTAGATAGTTCAGACAGTTCTGTTTTCTGTTTTCAATTCTATTTTTAGTAACAATAAATATGTCAAAAATAAATCAAAACTATCCTCTTTATAATTGTAATTTCAAATTTCAATAATATATGTCTAGTGAATTTAAATGTGAGAAAAGGGTTTCTAGAATTTCAAAATTTAGGTTGTTTTTTATCTATTGCTTTTGACAGTCTGTCGTTCCTAATAGAAAACCAGAAAATAGATGTTGTAGTTTTTTTAAATTTTTATTTTATTTTTTATTTCTTTCAATTGTTGTTCTAATGCAAACACATGTTCTTAATCGTCCTACAGCATAAATTAATAATGAATACTTCACCCCCCAACTTAAAAAGGACATTGTCCTCAATGACACAGAAAAATGAAAATAGAATATGTAGAAAATATAATTTTCAAGTGAAGTATGCATATGTAAAGTTAAGCATTAAAAATATTGTCATATATGATAAAGCTCAAAAAGACATCACCTCAACCTTGTTTTTAATTTTCCACTTCGTCTTACACTCCTCCTCTTATACTTTTTCAAAAAAAAAAAATACAGAAATAAGTACTATGAAATTCTAAGAAAAATAGAGCTTAAAAAAAATCAAACAAAATGAAATAAAAACCATGGGTTGCCTCCCATGCAGCACTGAATTTAATGTCTTTAGCTAGACAGCTCTTAGATCATATAAGATGATCTATGGTCATCAAAATATATTTGTATCCCAAGGTAAGTTTCATAATATTCTTTTTCAGATTTAGCATAAATTCATATACTTCATATATATACCTTGACATACTTTCGGCCAAAACAAAATGGAAATTAACAAAATTTTCCCAAAAATAATATTTCTATTTTGAAAAGAATCTTTCCTCATTTCTATCTTGTTTTGTAAGGCTCTCATTCATTAATAAATACTTTCTATTTATAGACCATAAAATGTGATCAGACCATATATTTTTCAAATTAGCTCTTACCTAATTTAGAATTTTTTCATCTAAATTGATATCTCTAATTCTTCCACTCACCCATTTATTAATGTATTCTTTTATCTGCATAATCTTCCCCTGCTCCATTTTATCTTCCATACATATTTGTTCAATTTGTGAGAAGTGAAATATTTCAAGCTTAGAAATAATTCTAATGGGCTGTGTGGGTTTTGAAGGATGGAAGGATTGTCTTCTTTAATCTTAGATCTATCAGTAAAATTTAAATTTTCTCCTCCAAAATTATCTCTATATTCATATTCATTATTTTTGTTTCTCCCCATTAGTTGAATCAACTCTTTTTCTAGCTTTTTGTTTCTTAATGCATCAAATTCTTCATCTTCCCAAGAGCTATCTTTTAATTTCGGTATATGATATACATCATCATCCTCACTATCAACATCTATGGCTGCAAAATTATGATTAGATTTATTAATTTTGTCTCCTACATCTCCTAAATCAACTAATTTTTCTTCACCTGAAATATGTTTTTCTTCATTTCTGTCCTTACTCTCTTCTACTAAAATTTGGATGATTTTTCCATGATTAGTTGTTGTTTCTTCATCTAAGGGCTCTTTCTCCTTATCATCCTCACTATATTCATTCATCAATTGTGAGCAATAAATAATTTTATTCAAATTTTCTGCTACTATATTTTTGGCCTTAATATTCTCATTTACTTCTAATAGATCATTGATTTCTTCTAATAGTTAGAAATAAAATATTCTCACTCAATGTATTCACTATCCTAACATTTTCATTTCGTGGGTTTTTTCTTAGATTCATGTTACTAGACTCCCTTTGATGAAATCCTATTATTGGGCAGTTCCCTAGATTTTCTATGGGCTGATTAGGTAGCCATCCCTCTTCTCTCTTATTCCCAAGAGCCTCTATAATTTATTTCTAGTGCAGCATCATTTGATTCATAGTTTGTTGCATCATTTGGTTCATTTGCTACATCATTTTCATAGTATCAAGTTGGGTTTGAGAGGGCTGATTTTTCTAAAATCTGTGTTCCTATTTTAGACGAAATTCAAATTTAGAATTGGATCTAAGTACTTTTAGATTTTGAATATTATTTGGGTTTCTCTATGAAAAATTATTCCCCCAATTAAGATTATAAGAATTAGAAAAATATTCTTTATTTTTACTAAAATCGTGAGATACCTACACTTGTTCTTACTTAGGATGATATTGAAATTCGAAATGATTATTCTCACCATACATAGGACATACTATTTGAATTAAATTGAGGGTTAAAAGGCTTTCTAATAAGTAAATTAAGTTTTTCCAATCTTTGATTAATTTGATTAACTGCATTTCTAAATTTAGAATCATCATCATGATGCAATTCATAAATTCCTCTCTTCTTATCTCTGTCACATAATTCAAAAGAGGCGATCTCTAAATTTTTTATTTAAATTCTCATAAAGATTGTAAATCTCATTAGAGATTTTCTCCATAAAAGCTCCTCCACATATAAAATTAACCATATTTCTATGTTTTTCTAATAATCTATCATAAAAAATTCTATTGAGCTACTACTTAGGTATAGCATGATGAGGATACTTTCTAAGTAAATCTTTGAATGTTTTTTATGTCTCATGTAAAATTTCTCCTGGTCTTTGAGAAAAATTTAATATTTACTTTCTCATATTTTGAGTTTTTTCTGAGGGATAAAATTTTCGAAGAAAGACCTATTCTATGTTTTTCTAGCTAGTTAATTCTCTATCTAATGTGGATAGCCAATGGCTAGCTTTGTCTCTAAGTGTATGAGGAAATAGTTTCATCTTAATAATTTTCAGTGTAACTTGAGGGAGATTAACTAAATCATAGATCATATGAAATTTTTGAAGTACTAATGAGGTTCCTCTAAAGGCAATCCATGAAAATTAGGAAGCATTTGAAAATTTTCTAGGTTTATTTCGAATTTAATAATGGGTGCTAATGAGACTTTAATATTGGATGCTCTTTAAAATGAATAAAGGGATATAATGATTTTTCATGGCCATAGGATTACTCTTAGTTTGAACTGTACTTCCTTCAGGATCCATCAAAATTAATTTTTCTTTTGAATTTTTAGTTTTGAATGAAATAATGAAAGGATTTTTTAGCCTTAGATGTAAGGATCTTCTACCATGCATAAAAAATCAATAAATTCGAGCAAAAATTTTAGTAATTGTTACCCTCCTTTAGTATGCTCCAGTCCTTGCCTTGCTTCTTTTTGTTCCCTTTTTCTAAAAAAATAATTTAACAAGAAAAACATAAAACAAGAGTTAAATTTTTTGTGTACTCTAAGAGAAAAATAGAAAAATACTAAATATTATATAACACATCCCCAACAACGGCACCAAAATTTGACATGACTTAGTCATTGTATATTAAATCATGTAAATCTAAAATTTATAAAATTAGAAAATATAATTTTTTAAATATTTAGAAATATTTTTGAACAAATATATCAATTATAATTCAATAATACTTCCAAAAAATAGCAATAATTATTTAAGTCAATCACAAGGATGTAATATAATATCTAGTAATTATTCAGAATTTTCTTCAAAGAATACTATTTTCTATGAATTTTATACTAGGAAATAAAAAGGAAATATATTTAAAATTCACAAAAAAAGGAAATAAGGGTACAGACACCAGGATGACATCAATGCCTGGCAAGCACAAATCAGGTAGAACTCTATATCCGCCTAGCAATTCTTACGTAAGTGATTACAAATGTTTTAATTGATCAAATTAAGATCTGTAAAAGTTGAAAGAATCATAATGAAATAGAGTATATGTTGGTAAATTTAAAATCAATAAATTATCACTAAATGAAATGAAAATTAAGTTGAAAGTAGGAAAATAAAGTTCCGGCGTCATAGCGGCGATGCGTTGACAATGTACTGAAATCCTGAGCATTCAGGAGAATCGCCGTGTAGTGTCCACAGCCTTGAAGGCTCTCTTTGGACAAAGACGACGTGGGCAATCTCTAAATCTCCTTGCGAAGTCTAGAGATCAATGAAATGGGTCGTCGAATCATCTCTAGTGGCTGTTACCTAGTGGAGCGGAAAAACAATGACTTTACGGCTCTCTAGTGGCTGTCACCTAACAAAGAAGAGCTAGATGGAGGTGGGGTGCATGTTAAGGAGCTTCATCTTCAAGTTTGCGCAGCAAGAGGAGGCTCTTCATCACATCTGGTACGCTCTTAGGAGGTGGCGACTCGCCTCTCAACAGATCATCCTCTTCCAAACGACGGCTTATTCGTCGATCAATCGGAGATGATTTACTCGATGGATTTGCGACCATTTTATCATGAATCCTTCAAAAAATTTAGTAACAATGCTCCACAAATTACGTTGACAAGATTTTTGCCAATGATTCAGTGATTTTAGTTGCTTAATCCTTCACCGACAATCCACAAGAAAGTCACGATAATCAGATAAATATATGAGTTTTGGCTCTAGGAGGATTCGAACCTATGTCGATTACCCACCTCTTCTGAGGAAGGTGATGGGTTTAGTCCCACATCAGTTGTGCGCTGAATTTTTGGGCAAATATATAGTAATGTTACATTTCTAAGTAAGTTTCTTTCTCAAACATGTACGACCACTCCTTGCCCCACAGCTAACTAGCCACTAGTGACATAGAAGGTGACGTGACTCAGTCGTTGTATGTTAAATCACGCAAATTTAAAATTTATAAAACTAGAAAATACGAATTTTCGGATATTTAGAAGTATTTCAAAATAAATAGATCAATTATAATTCAATAAAAATCTCAAAAATAGTGGTAATTTTCCAGGTCGATCACAGGGATGTAATATAATATCTGGTAATTATTCAGAATTTTTCTCAATGAGTACAATTTTCTTACGAATTTTATACTAGGAAATAAAAAGGAAATATATTTAAAATTCACAAAAAAGGAAATAAGGGTGCGGACGTCAGGATGACGTCAGCGCCCGGCGAACGCGAATCAGGCGGAAACAGAGTTCCGCCCGGCGATTCTTACGTAGGCGATTACAGACGACTCAATTAATCAAATTAAGATCTGTAAAAGCCGGAAGAATCGTAATTGAACGAAGTATAGTTTGGTAAATAAAAATCAACAAAGTATCACTAAATGAAGCGTAAATTAAATTGAAAGCAGGAAAACAGAGTTCCGGCGTCGCGACGGCGATGCGTCGGCGATGCACCGGAATCCTGAGCGTTCGGGAGGATCGTCGTGCAGTGTCCACGGCCTCGAAGGCTCTCCTTGGACAAAGACGACGTGGGCAATCTCTAGATAAAGTAGGAAAACAGAGTTCCGGCGTCGCGACGGCGACGCGTCGGCGATGCACCGGAATCCTGAGCGTTCGGGAGGGTCGTCGTGCAGTGTCCACGGCCTCGAAGGCTCTCCTTGGACAAAGACGACGTGGGCAATCTCTAGATAAAGCAGGAAAACAGAGTTCCGGCGTCGCGACGGCGACGCGTCGGCGATGCACCGGAATCCTGAGCGTTCGGGAGGGTCGTCGTGCAGTGTCCACGGCCTCGAAGGCTCTCCTTGGACAAAGACGACGTGGGCAATCTCTAGATCTTCTCGCGAAGTCTAGAGACCAATGAAGTGGGTCGTCGAATCGTCTCCGGCGGCTGTCACCCGGCGGAGCGGAAAAACGGCGACTTTGCGGCTCTCCGGCGGCTGTCACCCGACGGAGAGGGGCTGGATGGAGGTGAGGCGCGTGTTAGGGAGCTTCATCCTCAGGTCCGCGCAGCAAGAGGAGGCTCTTCATCGCATCTGGTACGCTCTCAGGAGGTGGCGACTGGTCTCCCGGCGGATCGTCCTCTTCCCGACGACGGCTTGTTCGTCGATCAATCGGAGATGATTTACTCGATGGATTGCGATCCTTTTATCGCGAATCGTTCAGAAATTTTAGTAGCAATGCTCCGCGAATCGCGTTGACGAGATTTTCGCCGATGATCTAGCGATTCCGGTTGCTTAATCCTTCACCGGCGATCTGCAGGAAAGTCGCGATAATCAGTTAAAAATATATGAATTTTGACTCTGGGAGGATTCGAACCCGCGGCGGTCGCCCGCCCATTTAGTCCCACATCGGTTGTGCGCGGATTATTCGGGCGAATATATAGTAAAGTTATCTTTTTAGGCAAAGTCCTCTCGCGTGTACGATCACTCCTTGCCCCACAGCCGGCTGACCACCGGTGACATGGAAGGGGAGTGGCGCACACGTGCCCCTATCGATCCAAGCAAGCCGCTCGAGCCCCTGCTCGCGGCTACTCCCCGACTGCGCTTCCGTCCCGCTTGCAGGCCCGGCTGGCCGGCGGATCCCCCCATTTTGCAATATTTTTATTTTTATTTCTTGTTCTTCATTTATCTCAAAACTAAGACTGTAAAAATCGTATAAAATCACATAATTACCCAAAAATTCACGTTAATCAACTGAAAACCACTTTTCATGCTTTAACACAAATATAAGTCTATTTATCATGAGTTAAGGCTAAAACTATATTATTTACTAATTATTAACTCATGATAATGAAGACTTATCAGAAGGGGAGTGGCACACACATGCCTCTATCGGTCTAAGCCACTCGAGCCTCTGCTTGTGGCTATTCCTCGACTGCACTTCTAACCCGCTTGTGGGGGCCTGGCCAGCCGGCAGGTCCCCCACATTTTGCTATATTTTTATTTTAATTTCTTTTCCTTCATTTATCTCAAAAGTAAGACTATAAAAATCATATAAAATCACATGATTACCTAAAAAATCACGTTAATTAACTGAAAACTACTTTTTACACTTTAACACAAATATAAGTCTATTTATCATGAGTTAAGGCTAAAACTATATTATTTACTAATTATTAACTCATGATAATGAAGACTTATCACATTTCTTTGATAGATTTTCAATCATTTCTTTGACCTAATCATACATTTAGACCTCCTCATCAACCACAACATAATGCTAAGCCCTCTTTTCAGTAAAATACTCATAATTTCCAGCAAGGTACTCATTAGCCACCAGTCCAAAATTTCATCCCTTCTTCCTCAAGTTCAATCCCTAATTTCAACCCACAATCTCCTAATTCATATCAAAATCAATCTTATATCAATTCAAATTCGATGCAACAATTTATGGGACAAATGATGTAGTAATTTCAAGAAATAAATACATCTATGATGAAGATGATGGAGCAAATTAGGTAAGAAAATCAGAAAACTCTTAGGCTAGAAAAAGAGATAGGTAAAGTAGCCTTGGCCGACTCAAAATGCGAAACAGGTCATCTTCCTAGTCAACCTATTATGAACCGATGAAATCAACCTTTTAATAATGATGAACCATCTACATCTCAAGGTTTTGAAAATGTAAAAGTAGTGACCACTTTGAGGAGTGGAAAACAACTCAAAGATCCATATGCACCAGATTTTTAGAAAAATAGGTTCATGATGATGAAGTGCAAAATAATGATGATAATGACCATGATAGTTTATTTTCTGATGATGAGAATTTAGAGGAAGAAAAATGAGAATCAAAAGAAGAAAAATCAGAAGTACCATCCATTTCTATTTTATCACAGCAAGATGAACTTAAAAAAATAGTCTCCTTTCCTAAGGCATTAGAACCAAAACGTAGGAAAAGAGCTGAACCTAATGAAGAGCTTATGAAAATATTTAAATAATTTTAGGTCTCTATTCCTTTGATAGATGCAATCAAACATATACCTGCATATGCAAAAATTTTAAAAGAATTATACACACCTTGTAGGTCACCTCGGAAGTTATCTTTATCTGAAGAGGCTAGTGTCATTATTTCTCATTCTTTGCCTAAGAAATTTAAGAATCTAAGAGCACCTCTTATCTCATGTAAAGTGGGTGAAACTACATTTAGAAATGTGCTCTTAGATTTGGGAGCAAGTGTTAATTTATTACCTTTGGCTGTTTTTGAAATTTTAAAATTAGGAGAACTAAAACCAACTTTAGTAGAACTTCAGCTAGCTAATATGTCTATTAAAACACCTAAGGTTCTCCTAGAAGATGTCATTATCCAAACTAATTGATCAACTTGCTGAACATAATTCATTTCTTCTATGCATGAATCAATTACATCAATATCTTCATAATTATCATTATCTTCATGTGGAAATCTTGAAATTTTAAAAACATTTAAAGAGATATTTTGACCTTTAGATTTCATATTTATAATCCTATTTTTGGAATCGATATTTGTTTTGTCTATGACAAAAAATAGGCACCCTAATATGATTGGTACATGAGTAAGATCATCTAAAATAGGAATATCTAAAATCAGAAAATCTACTAGAAAACCTAAACTTTATTTTTCTTACACCAAACTAAACTTATGATTATCTCTACCTTATTGACTGCTGAACAGGAAAAGAAAACATTAGAGGTTTTACAAGAACATAAGAAAGCAATAGGGTGCACAATGGCTGATCTCAAGCGGATCAGCCCATCAATTTGCATGCATGGAATATATACAAAAGATAATTCAAAACCATCAAGGGAAATGCAATGTAGGCTGAACCCAAACATGAAAGAAGCGGTAAAGAAAGAAATCATCAAATGGTTAGATGCTAATATTATTTACCCTATTTATGATAGTCAATGGGTTAGCCCAACACTAGTAGTTCACAAGACTCTCCACAGGATGGAGAGTATGCATTGATTACTGTAAGCTTAATGCAATGACAAGGAAAGATTATTTCTCTTTGTCATTTATTGATCAAATTTTAGAAAGACTTCCAGGTCAAAAATATTTTTATTTCTTAGATGAATTTTAAGGATATAATAAAATAGAAATATTTCCAGAAGATCAAGAGAAAACAACATTCACATGTCCATTTGGAACATATACATTTAAATGCATGCCCTTTGGTTTATGCAATGCACCTGTCACATTTCAAAGATACATGATGTCTATATTTACTAAAATGATTGGTGATTTTTTAGAAGTCTTCATGGATGATTTTTCAGTCTTTGGTGATTCATTTGATATATATCTAAATAATCTTAAGAAAGTACTTAAGAGATGTGAAGAGACCAATCCCATTCTTAGTTGGGAGAGAACTCATTTCATGGTTAGAGAAGGTATTATTTTAAGACATATTGTGAGTGAAAGAGGAATAGAAGTAGATAGAGCAAAAAAAAATTCTATTATTAGTTTACCTCCACCTACTTCTATTTGTCAAATTAGACCATTTCTAGGACATGCTAGTTTCTATAGAAGATTTATCAAAGATTTTTCAAAAATTGCTAGACCTCTTACAGCCTTACTTGTTAAAGATATCACTTTTGATTTTGATGAAGCATGTTTTGAGGCTTCTCTATACTTCAAGCTATTGACCAAGGCAACTATTTTATAGTCACCCACTTGGTCAATTCCTTTTGAAATCATGTGTGATGCTTCAAATCATGCATTGGGTGTTGTTTTAGGACAACGAATTAATAAGAAACTAGTGGTAATTTATTATGCAAGCAGAACAATTTCCGATGCACAAATAAATTATACCACTATGGAAAAAGAATTACTTGCAGGTTTTTTTACCTTAGAAAAATTTAGATCTTATATCTTAGGATCTAAAGTTATTGTATATTCAAATCACACAGCCCTAAGATATTTGTTGACTAAGAAAGAAACAAAACCACATCTACTTAGATGGATCTTATTATTTCAACAATTTAACTTAGAGATTCGAGATAAGAAAGGTGTAGAAAACGTGGAAGCTGACCATTTGTCTAGAATTGAAGGGCAAGAAAGGTTGGATTAAATGATTTATTTCCTGATGAAATATTCTTGCCTTGCATAGTAAGCTCACACCATGGTATGCACATATAGTTAATTATTTAGCAATTAGCAAAATCCCATCTCATTGGCAAAAGGATGGACGCGAACAATTCTTTGCTTGGAATGACCCTAATCTATTTCATCTAGGATCAGATCAAATTTTATGAAGATGCATTCCTAAAGAAGAAAATTTTCAAATTTTAGAACATTGTCATTCTTATGAATGTGGGGTCATTTCGCAAGAAAGAAAATAGCAGTAAAAATTTTACAATGTGGTTTCTATTGGCCATCTTTATTTAAAGATGCTCACATATTTTTTAGGCAATGTATCAAATGTCAAGTTGTCATTAATATTAAAAAAAGGAAATGCAATACCTTTAAAATTAGTAATTGTTGTTGAAATTTTTGATATTTGGGGCATTGATTTTATGGGACCCTTTCCTTCATCTCAAGGCTATGAATATATTTTGTTAGCTATTGATTATGTGTCAAAGTGGGTAGAAGCTACTCCAACAAGGACAAATGATCATAAAGTAGTTATCCAATTTGTTCAAAGTAATATTTTTACACGATTTAGATGTCTTAAAGTAATAATTAGTGATGGGGAACTAATTTCACTAATCATCACTTTAGGATGTTACTTAGAAAATATGATGTTAATCATATGATAGCTACCTAATGTCTTCATTATCATGAGTTAATAATTAAAAAAAATATAGTTTTAGACTTTACTCATGATAAATAAACTTATATTTGTGTTAAAGTATTAAAAGTAGTTTTTAGTTGACTAACGTGAAATTTTAATAATTATGTGATTTTTTACGAATTTATATGATTTTTATAATCTTATTTTTGAGATAAATAAAGAAAGAAATAAAATTAAAATATAGAAAAATGGGGGGGACCTGCCGACCAGCCAGGCCTACAAGCGGGTCGAAAGCACAGTCAAGGGGAGCCGTTAGTAGGGGCTTGAGTGGGTAAGACTGATGGGGGCACATGTGTGCCACTCTCCTTCTATGTCACCGATGGCCAACCAATTGTGAGACAAGGAGTGGTCATACACGCAAGAGAAAATGACTCATTGCTTGTAAATGTGATATTACTATATATTCACCTAAAAATTCAGAGCGCAAGCGATGTGGAACTAAACCCGCATCACACCTTCTCCTAAAAGGCTTTGAAGATTTTAATACCTACACTATCCCTTCGTTATAATAGAGATATATCATAATGACTAATAAATCTTTATTATCATGAGTTAATAATTATTAAATAATATAGTTTTAGCCTTAACTCATGATAAATAGACTTATATTTATGTTAAAGTGTGAAAAATGGTTTTCAATTGATTAACGTGAATTTTTAGGTAATTATGTGATTTTATATGATTTTTACAGTCTTACTTTTGAGATAAATGAAGAACAAGAAATGAAAATAAAAATATTACAAAATGGGGGGACCTGTCAACTAGCCGGGCCCGCAAGTAAGTCGGAAGCAGGTTAGAAGTGCAGTCCGGGAGTAGCCACGAGCTGGGGCTCGAGCGGCTTGGCTTGGACCGCTAGGGGCACATGTGCACCACTCCCCTTCCACGTCACCAGTGGCCAGCCGGTGTGGGGTAAGGAGTGGTCGTACACGCAAGAGAAAGGACTTTGCTTAGAAATCTAACATTACTATATATTCACCCGAAAAATCAGCGCACAACTGATGTGGGACTAAACCTACATCACACCTTCCACAGAAGAGGCAGGCAACCAGCACGGGTTCAAATCCTCCTAGAGTCAAAATTCATATATTTTTATCTGATTATCATGACTTTCCTGCAGATTGCTAATGAAGGATTAAGCAATGAGAATCATTGAATCATCGGCAAAAATCTTGTCAACTTGATTCACGGAGCATTGCTACTAAAATTGCTGACGTATGCACCCTTATTTCCTTTTTTCGTGAATATTAAATATATTTTCTTTTCATTTCTTAGTATAAAATTCATATAAAATAGTATTCATTGAGAAAAATTCTGAATAATTACCAAATATTATATTACATATCTATGATTGACTTGGAAAATTATTATTATTATTGAAAGTTTTATTAAATTATAATTGATATATTTATTCAGAAATACTTCTAAATATCTAAAAATTTGTATTTTCTAGTTTTATAAATTTTATATTTGCGTGATTTAATATACAACGACTGAGTCACGTTAGTGACGTCACTTGATAAGAGCATTAGAGTACTTATTTCAATCTCTCTCATACAAGTAGGCAACTGGCGTGAATTCTAATCCTTCTAGAACTAAAACTCATATTTTTATCTAGTTATTATGACTTTCTTGTAGATCATTGGTGAAAGATTAAACCACTAGAATTGTTGGTTCATCGGTGAAAATCTTGTCAACGTGATTTGTAAAGCATTAATATTAAAATTTATGAATGATTCACGATAAAAAGATCACAAATCCATCAAGTAAATCATCTCTAATTGATTGACGAACAAGCGTCATCAGAAAGAGAATGGTCTCCCATGAGACGAGTCCCTACCTCTTAAGAGTGTATTAGATGTGATGAAGAGCCTCTAACGTGACTTAGTTGTTGTATGTTAAATCACGCAAATTTAAAATTTATAAAATTAGAAAATATGAATTTTTAGATATTTAAAAGTATTTTTGAACAAATATATTAATTATAATTTAATAAAACTTCTAAAAATAGTGGTAATTTTCTAAGTCAATCAAGGGATGAAATATAATATCTAGTAATTATTCAGAATTTTCCTCAAAGAATACTATTTTCTATGAATTTTATACTAAGAAATGAAAAGGAAATATATTTAAAATTCACAAAAAAAGAAAATAAGGGTGCAGATGTTAGGATGATGTCAGCACTCAACGATTCTTACATAGGTGATTACAAATGATTTAATTAATCAAATTAAGATCTGTAAAAGCCAAAAGAATTATAAGTGAACAAAGTATACTTTGGTAAATTAAAATCACATAAATTATCACTAAATACAACATAAAGTAAGTTGAAAGTAGGAAAACAAAGTTCTAGCATCGCGATAGTGATGCATCGGCGATACACCAGAATCTTGAGCATTCGGGAGGATCATCGTGCAGTGTCTATGTCCTCAAAGGCTTTCCTTGGACAAAGACAACGTGAACAATCTCTAGATCTCCTTGTGAAGTCTAAAGATTAATGAAATGGGTCGTCAAATCGTCTCTGGTGGCTATCACCCAATAGAGCAGAAACGACGACTTTGCAGCTCTTTGATGACTGTCACCCGACAGAGAGGAGCTAGATGGAGGTGGGGCGTGTGTTAGGGAGCTTCATCCTTAGGACCACGTAGCAAGAGGAGGCTCTTCATCTCATCTGATATGCTCTAAAGAGGTGGCGACTTGTCTCCCAGCAGATCATCCTCTTCCCGATAATGACTTGTTCGTCGATCAATCGGAGATGATTTACTCAATGGATTTGTGATCCTTTTATTGCAAATCCTTCAATAATTTTAGTAACAATGCTCCGCGAATCGCATTGACGAGATTTTTGCTGATGATCTAGCGATTCTAGTTGCTTAATCTTTCATCGGCGATCTACAAGAAAGTCGCAATAATCAGATAAAAATATATGACTTTTGGCTCTAGGAGGATTCAAACCTATGCCGGTTGCCCACCCCCCCTTTTGGGGAAGGTGTGACGTGGGTTTAGTCCCACATCAATTGTGTGCCAAATTTTTAGGCGAATATATAGTAATGTTACATCTCAAAGCAAGTCCCTTCTCACACGTGTATGACCACTCCTTGCCCCATAGTCGGTTGGCCATTGATGATGTGGAAGGGGAGTGACACACATGTACCCCTATCAGTCCAAGCTGCTCGAGCCCTTGCTCACAACTACTCCCCGACTAAGCTTCCAACCCACTTACACGTATAGCTGGCTGGCGGGTTCCCCTCACTTTATCTTATTTTTATTTTTTATTACTTTTCCTTCATTTATCTCAAAAGCAAGACTGTAAAAATTATATAAATTTGTGTAAAATTATATAATTACCCAAAAATTCACATTAATCAATTAAAAACTACTTTTCACACTTTAACACAAATATAAGTCTATTTATAATGAGTTAAGGCTAAAACTATATTATTTATTAATTATTAACTCATGATAATGAAGACTTATCACACCCCTCAACTTAAATTTTTGCTAGTCCCTTAGTAGTGGAATTACGAAAATAAAATTTACAAATCTCAAACATCATATTTCAATACAGAAAAACAATAGAATTAGAAATGATGCACCTTTAGATACTTTGGATTCTTATATCAAATATTTAAGAATGATGTCAAGTACTTAAATGTTTAAACACTCCTTGGAATAACAATCTAGACTTCACTTCTTCTATTCACATCTTTATCACTTCTTCACTCATAGATGCATTTACAAGATGTTCTAATTATCAATACTCATTCAAAAATAATCTTGATCCTACATTTCTTTTTTTCTATGACTTGATTTTTTAAGTTTGTATTATATTTCTTCCTTTATATATATATATATATATATAGTGGATAAGTAGCTTTTCCTGTAGACAAATTTTGACAATAAGAATGATGTCTCACACCCTCCATATGTACTCTTCATTTTCAGGGCTTTCACTTTATCCACTTATTTTACAGCAAGTATTTTTCTATGCACGATTTTCGACAATGATAATGATGTCTCACACCCTCCATGTGTACTCTTCATTTCTAAAGTTTTCACATTGCTCTCTCTTTTCTTTTCAAAATAAGTAATTTCTCCTCACAAGTCCTAAGATCAAGGTGCAAAAATCTCCATTAAACTCAAATGATCAATCAAATTTTCACATCAAGTAAATACTATTCATCTAGATCATGAAGTAAAAATCTATAAAATCAAATTTATGTTATCTATCATGTATCTAAGGAGTATTCCAACATTTCATGGTACTAGATCATTCTTTTGACTCAATAATAATCTTCCTAGTATCTTTTGGTATCAATCAATCTAATTGATTTAATTTTGTATGTATGCAATATGATGTAAGGAATTTGTAAATTAGATAGTTCTAACAATTTTATTTTCTGTTTCAAGTTCTATTTTTTAGTAATAATAAATTTGTCAAAAATAAATTAAATTTATCCTCTTTGTAGCTGCAATTTCTAATTTCAGTAATATATGTCTAGAGGATTGAAATGTGAGAAAAGGGTCTCTAGAATTTCAAATTTTGGGCTGTTTTTTGTCAGCTGTTTTTGACAATATGTTGTTCCTAACAGAAAACCAGAAAATAGATGTTGCAGTTTTTCTGAATTTTATTTTATTTTATTTTATTTCAGTTGTTATTCTAATACAAACATATGTTCTTAATCATCCTACAGCATAAATTAATAATGAATACTTCACCCCCCAACTTAAAAATGACATTGTCCTCAATGACACAGAAAAAAAATATATAATATGTAGAAAATATAATTTTCAAGTGAACCATGCATATATACAAAGTTAAGTATTAAAAATATTGTCATAAATGATAGAGCTCAGAAAGACATCACCTTGACTTCATTTTTAATTTTTCACTTCATCTTACACTCCTCCTGCACTTTTTCAAAAAAAACAAATATAGAAACAAGTACTGCAAAATTCTAAGAAAAATAGAGCTTAAAAAAAAAATCAAATAGAATGAAATAAAAACCATGGGTTGCCTCCCATGCAGCGCACTGAATTTAATGTCTCCAACTGGACTCCTTGATCTTAATTTGGAATTTCTTTTAATAATAATTTTTTTTTCTACAAGGCATTCATATTCTATGTAATGTTTAAGCCGTTGTTCATTTACCTTAAAGTTATGATCACTTTGAAGATTTTTAATCATTATAGCCCCATGATCATATGTCTCTTCCACCACATAAGGCCTTTTTCATTTTCATTTTAATTTTCCAAAGAATAATTTCAGCCTAGAATCATATAACTACACTTTTTCTCTAACATCAAATTTTTTTCTGCTAATGTATTTATCATGAAAAGTTTTAGTTTTTTCTTTATATATTCTATGATTTTGATAAGCTTCATTCCTCAACTCCTCTAGTTCATATAGCTGAAAAATTCTATGCCCACTAGCTGATTTTTCATCTATACATAAATTTTTTATAGCCCATAATGCTTTATGCTCTATTTCCATAAGAAGATGACATGGCTTTCCAAAAATGAGATGAAATGGAGACATACATATAGGATTTTTATAAGCTGTTCTATAAGCCCATAATGTATCTTGTAATTTCGTGAGCCAATCTTTCTAATCTGGTCCAACTATTTTTCTAAAAATTCTCTCAATTTCCCTATTTACTACTTCAACTTGCCCATTTGTTTGGAGATGATATGGAGTGGTTACTCTATGGTGTACTCTATTCTTTTTCAATAGTTCCCTGAAATATTTATTTGTAAAATGTGTTCTTCCATCACTAATAATCACTCTAGAACATCCAAATCTCGAAAAAATATTTTCCTGCACAAATTTCATTACGATTTTATGATCATTAGTTCTAATAGGAATAGCTTCCACCCACTTCGACACATAATCAACAACAAGTAAAATATATTTATATTTTTCAACTGATGGGAAGGGACCCATGAAATCTATTCCCTATACATCAAAAATCTAACATGTTACTCATAGACATTTCATCTTTTTTACTCGTGTTACCTATAGATTGACATGAAATACATGTTCTACTAAATTCTATAGAATCTCTAATGATTGTAGGCTAATAAAAACCACACTAAAAAAATTTTGCAGTTGTTTTTCATCTAGAAAAATGTCCTCCACAATTAGATGAATGGCACATGTTAATAATACTATGACATTCTTCTTTAGGAACACATCTCCTTAAAATTTGATCATTGCTCAAATAATATAAATCAGGATCATGTCAAAAATAATTTCTAATCTTCGAAAAGAAATGATATTTTCTATTCTTATCCCACTGTTCTGGAGTTTTTTCAGAAATCAAAAAATTAACAATATGTGCATACCATGGTGATGGTTGATGTTGAACTGCCATCAATTGTTCATCTAAAAATACGTCTTGTAAAGGTGTTGCATTTATTCCTATATCACTTAATCTAGAAAGATGGTCAACAAAAATATTCTCGAAACCTTTTTTATCTTTTATTTCTAAGTCAAATTTCTGTAACAATAAAAGCCATCTTAATAAATGTGACTTTACATCTTTCTTATTTAACAGATATTTTAATGCTGCATGATCAATATAAATAATACTTTTAGCTCTCAAAAGATATGATTTAAACCTTTCTAATGAAAATATTACAGCTAACAACTCTTTTTCAGTCGTGGTATAGTTTAATTGAGCATCAGATATAATTTAACTAGCATATGAAATTACTATGGGTTTTGACTCTTTTGTTTGTCCTAGAATGGCCCCCACTACATAATTCGATGCATCACACATTATTTCAAAGGGAAAGGACCAATCAAGAGCTTGAAAAATGGGTGCCTCAATAAGTAATTTTTTTATTTCAGAAAAAGACTCAAAACATTTTTCATCAAAATTAAAAGGCACATCTTTAGATAATAGTATGGTGTGAAGTTTAAAAATTTTCAAAAAATCTTGAATAAATTTTCTATAATAACCTATATGACTCAAGAAAGATCTAATCTGTTTTACTAAATTTGGAGGTTTCATTTTAGATATATTATCAATTTTTTCTCTACCACCTCTAAACCTCTTTCACTCACAATATGACCTAACACAACTCTCTCTCTAATAATAAAATGTGATTTCTCCCAACTCAAAACTAATTTTTTCTCTATGCATTTCTGAAGTACATGTTGTAAATGATTTAAGCATTCATCAAATTATTCACCAAAAAAAGAAAAATCGTTCATAAAAATTTCCATGTATTTTCCAATTATATCAGAAAAAATAGACAGCATACATCTTTGAAATGTGGGTAGAGCATTACACAAACTAAAAGGCATGCGTTTAAAAGCAAAAGGACCAAATGGACAAGTGAAAGTTTTTTTTTCTTGATCTAAAGGGTTTATATAAATTTGATTATAACCAGAGTATCCATCTAGAAAACAAAAAAAGTTTTTTCTAACTAATTTTTCTAGAATTTAATTAGTAAATGGTAGGGGAAAATGATCTTTTCTAGTAATTGAATTTAATTTTCTATAATCAATGCAAACCCTCCAACCGGTAGTTAATCTTATTTGTATTTCATCCCCTTTTTTATTTTTTATAACCATGATCCCTAATCTTTTTGGCACCACTTGTGTAGGACTAACTCATTTGCTATCTAAAATAGGATAAATAATATCAGCAGCCAGTCACTTTAAATTTTCTTTTTTTATAATTTTCATCATGTTAGGATTTAATCTTTGTTGTAGTTCCTTGCTAGTTCTAACCCCCTCCTCTAGATATATACTATGCATGCATACACTCATATCAATGTCCCTTAGATCATCCATTTTCCAGCCCATAGCCTTCTTATTTTTTCAAAGCACATCTAATAATTCTTCTTCTTGTTCATTACTCAAATCAACTATAATAATAATAGAAAATAAATTATTTTCCTCTAAAAATATATATTTTAAACTAGAGGGAAGAGATTTCAACTCTAAATTCAGATGATCTTCCTCTTTCTTTTCTTCCAAATTTATATTCTCTATTTCTTCTAATTCTTCTAGCACATAGTCATCAATAACATCTGGATCATCAAAATCATCTAGAAGATCTATGGTAGAACAATCATATACTTAGGATTTCTTAAGATCATTTAATACCTCAAAAATTTTAATTTCTACTAATTAATCTCCACATGAAATGTTTACAATACCTATAGGAAAATTAATATTCATCTGCAAAAATGATCTCCCTAGAATGATTGGTGTATCATAAAACTGTCCATTAAAATCCATTTTCAGCACTACAAAATTAGTTGGAAATTTACACCCTTTAATTGTCACTATCACAACTTCTAAAATACCTTTAGGATGTTTTATAGATCTATCAGCAAATTGTAAGGTAATAGTAGAAGGTTTAAGATCAGAAATATTAAATTTATCACAAATACTGGCAGGTAATAAACTAATACTAGCATCGGTGTCAAGTAATGCATTCTGAAAAATGATCCACCAATATCACACGAAATTAAAGGGGCACCTATATCTCTCAATTTATATGATAATTAATTTAATAATAATACACTAGCATGCATAGATAATTTTTCTACTCTAGGTGTCATTTTTGGTGTACACATTTCTTTCAAAACTCTAGTATATTCAGGAATATGTTCAATGGTAGTGAGTAAAGGAAGACTAATTTACACATCTTGTAAAATTTTCTTTATTTCTTCATTGTGTTCCTTTTTCTTTCTTTGCCTAGGCTCAAGAGCTTTAGGAAATAGAATGGTCGTCCTCTCTTTTGAAATTTTCTTGGTAGAATCTATAAAATCCTCTTCTACTCCTATTTGATTTTGTTTTGGGTTATCCACGTTTTCCTTTTTTTTTTAATATTTGGGGATAAGGATCAAGTAAGATCTTACCACTCAATGTATTCACTGTCTTTACATTTTCATTTCATGAGTTTTTCTTTAGATTCATGCTACTAAACTCCCCTTGCTGAAATCTTATTGTTGGGTAGTTCCTTGGATTTTCTATGAGCTGACTAGGTAGTTGTCTCTCTTCTCTCTTATTCCCAACAGCCTCTATAATTTGTTTCTGGTTCAGCATCATTTGATTCATAGTTTGTTGCATCGTTTAGCTCATTTGCTCCATCATTTCCACAGTATCAAGTTAGGTTTGAGATGGCTGATTTTTCTGAAATCTATTTTCTTATTTTGGACGAAATTCAAAGTTTGAATTGGGTCTAAGTGCTTCTAGATTTTGAATATTATTTCGGTCTCTCTATGAGAAATTATTCCTCTAATTAGCATTATAAGAATTTGAAAAAGGTTCTCTATTTCTATTAAAACTGTGAGCTACTTGTACTTATTCTTGCATAGGGTGAAATAATTGATCTAAATTATAACATTAAAATTCAGAATAATCATTTTCACCATACATAGGACATGTACTATTTGAATTAAATTGAGGGTTAAAATGTCAATAAGTAAATTATTTTTTTTTAATCTTTGATTAATCTGATTAACCTCATTTCTAAGTTTAGAATCATCATCATGATACAATTCATAAATTCCTCTTCTTATCTCTATCATATAATTCAAAAGAGGCTTGATCTCTAGAATTTTCACTTAAATTCTCATAAAGAGTATAAATCTTATCAAGAGTTTTCTCCATAAAAACTTCTCCACATATAGAATCAACCATATTTTTATATTATTCTAATAATCTATCATGAAAAATTCTATTGACCAAGTGACATGACTTAGTCGATGTATATTAAATCACGCAAATCTAAAATTTATCAAAGTAAAAAATACAAATTTTCAGATATTTAGAAGTATTTCTAAATAAATATATCAATTATAATTAAATAAAACTTTCAAAAATAGCAATAATTTTCCAAGTCGATCACAGGGATGTAATATAATATCCAGAAATTATTTAGAAATGTTCTCAATGAATATGATTTTTTATGAATTTTATACTAGGAAATGAAAAGGAAATATATTTAAAATTCACGTAAAAGGAAAATAAGGGTGCAGACGTTAGGATGATGCAGTGCCCGACAAATGCAAATCGAACAGAAATAGAGTTCCGTCCGGCGATTCTTATGTAAGTGATTACAGACAATTTAATTAATCAAATTAAGATCTGTAAAAGTCAGAAGGATCCTAATCGAATTAAGTATATTTTGGTAAATTAAAATCACAAAAATTATCACTAAATGAAGTGTAAAGTAAGTTGAAAGCAAGAAAATAGAGTTCCAGCATCACAACGGCAATGCGTCGGCAATACACTGGAATCTTGAGCGTTCCAGAAGATCATCATGTAGTGTCCATGGCCTCAAAGGCTCTCCTTGGACAAAGATGACGTGGACAATCTCTAGATCTTCTCACGAAGTCTAGAAATTAATGAAATGGGTTGTCGAGTCATCTCCAGCGACTGTCACCCGACGGAGTGGAAAAATGGCGACTTTACGGCTCTTTGGCGGTTGTCACCCGACGAAGAAAAGCTAGATGGAGGTGGGGTGCATGTCAGGGAGCTTCATCCTCAGGTTTGCACAGCAAGAGGAGGCTTTCATCGCATTTGATATGCTCTCAAGAGGTGGCAACTCATCTCCTGATAGATCGTCCTCTTCCTGACAACGACTTATTTGTCAATCAATCGGAGATGATTTACTCGATGGATTCACGATCCTTTTATCGTGAATTGTTCAGCAATTTTAGTAGAAATGCTTCGTGAATCGCATTGATGAGATTTTTGCCAATGATCCAGCAATTCTCGTCACTTAATCCTTCACCGGTGATCTGTAGGAAAGTTGCGATAATCAAATAAAAATATATGAATTTTGACTCTAGGAGGATTCGAACCCACGCCGATTGCCCGCCTCTTTTGAGGAAGGTGTGATGCAGGTTTAGTCCCACATCAGTTTTGTGCTGATTTTTCAAGCAAATATATAGTAATGCTAGCTTTCTAAGCAAAGTCCCTTCTCTCGCATGTACGACCACTCCTTACCCCACAGCCAACTAGCCATCAATGACATGGAAGGAGAGTGATGCACACGTGCCCCTATCGGTCCAAGTTAAGCCGCTCAAGCCCCTGCTCGCGGCTACTCCCCGACTATGCTTCTGTCCCACTTGCAGGCCCGGCTGGCCAATGGATCTCCCATTTTGTAATATTTTTATTTTTATTTCTTGTTCTTCATTTATCTCAAAAGTAAGATTATAAAAATTGTATAAAACCACTTTTCACACTTTAACACAAATATAAGTCTATTTATCATGAGTTAAGGCTAAAAATATATTATTTATTAATTATTAACTCATGATAATGAAGACTTATCACACCCCCCAACTTTAATCATTGCTAGTCCCTTAGCAATGGAATTACGAAAATAAAATTTTACAAATCTCAAGTATCATATTTCAATACAGAAAAAAATACAATTAGAAATGATGCACCTTTAAACACTTTGGATTCTTATATCAAGTATTTAAGAATGATGTCAAGCACTTAAATGTTTAAACACTCCTTGGAATAACAATCTAGACTTCACTTCTTCTATTCACATCTTTATCACTTCTTCACTCAAAGATGTATTTACAAGATATTTGAATTATCAATACTTATCCAAGAAAAATATTGATCCTACATTTCCCTTTTTCTATGACTTGATTTTTGAAGTTTGCACTATATTTCTTCCTTCTTTTTTTTTCTCTTTTTTTTTATATATATAGTGGATAAGTAGCTTTTCCTTTAGACAAATTTCGACAATAAGAATGATGTCTCACACCTTCCATATATACTCTTCATTTTCAGGGCTTTCACTTTGTCCACTTATTTTTCAACAAGTGTTTTTCTATGCACGATTTTTGACAATGAGAATGATATCTCGCACTCTCCATATGTACTCTTCGTTTCTAGATTTTTCACATTGCTCTCTCTTTTTTTTTCAAAATAAGTGATTTCTCCTCACAAGTCCTAAGATCAGGGTGCAAAAATCTCCATTAAATTCAAATGATCAATCAAATTTTTACATCAAATAAATACTATCCATCAAGATCATGAAGTGAAAATTAGTAAAATCAAATCCATGTTATCTATCATGTATCCAAGGAGTATTCCAACATTTCAAATCCATGTTGACTCAAAAATAATCTTCCAAATATCTATTTGGTATCAATCAATCTAATTGATTTAATTTTTCATGCATGCAATATGATGTAAGAAATTTATAAATTAGATAGTTCTAAGAGTTCTATTTTCTATTTTCAGTTCTATTTTTAGCACAATAAATTTGTCAAAAATAAATCAAAACTATCCTCTTTATAGCTGTAATTTCTAATTTCAGTAATATATATCTAGGGGATTGAAATGTGAGAAAAGGGTCTCTAGAATTTCAAATTTTGGGCTGTTTTTTATCTACTGTTTTTGACAATTTGTTGTTCCTGACAGAAAACTAGAAACTAGATGTTGCAATTTTTCTGAATTTTATTTTATTTTTATTTTTTTTAGTTGTTGTTCTAAGTTGAATAAAATGCAAACACATGTTCTTAATCATCCTACAGTATAAATTAATAATGAATACTTCACCCCCTAACTTAAAAATGACATTGTCCTCAATGACATAGAAAAATCGAAACAGAATATATAGAAAATATAATTTTCAAGTGAAGCATGCATATCTGCGAAGTTAAGCATTAAAAATATTTTCATAAATGATGAAGCTCAGAAAGACATCACCTTAACCTCGTTTTTAATTGTCCACTTCATCTTATACTCCTCCTCTTGCACTTTTTTGAAAAAAATAAATACAAAAACAAGTACTGTGAAATTTTAAGAAAAATAGAGCTTAAAAAAATCAAATAAAATGAAATAAAAACCATGGGTTGCCTCCCATGCAACGCTGAATTTAATGTCTCCAGTTGGACTCCTTGATCTTACTCTTAAAATTCTTTTAATAATAATAAATTTTATTTTTCTACAAGGCATTCATGTTCTATGTAATGTTTAAGCCGCTGTCCATCTACAAGGCATTCATGTTTCCTTTTTTTTTTATAGCCCATAATACTTTATGCTCTATTTCCACAAGAAGATGACATGGCTTTCCAAAAATGAGGCAAAATAGGGACATACCTATAGGATTTTTATAAGCTGTTCTATAAGCCCTTAATACATCTTGTAATTTTGTGGGCCAATCTTTCCTATCTAGTTTAACTATTTTTCTCAAAATTCTCTGAATTTCCTTATTTGCAACTTCAACTGGCCCATTTGTTTGGAGATGATATGGAGTAGCTACTCTATGGTTTACTCCATTCTTTTTCAACAGTTCCCTGAAATATTTATTTGTAAAATGTGTTCTTCCATCACTAATATTCACTCTAGGACATCCAAATCTCAAAAAAATATTTTCTTGCATAAACTTTATTACGATTTTATGATCATTAGTTCTAATAGGAATAGCTTCCACCCACTTCGACACATAATCAACAGCAAGTAAAATATATTCATATTTTTCAGCTGATGGGAAGGGACTCATGAAATCTATTACCCACACATCAAAAATTTCAACTACTAACATATTACACATGGGCATTTCATCTTTCTTACTCATGTTACCTATAGATTGGCATGAAATACATGTTCTACTAAATTCTATAGAATCTCTAATGATTGTAGGCCAATAAAAACCACACTGAAAATTTTTTATAGCTATTTTTCGTCTAGAGAAATGTCCTCCATAGTTAGATGAATGGCACATGTTAATAATGCTATCATATTCTTTTTCAAGAACACATCTCCTTAAAATTTGATCATTGCCCAAGTAATATAAATTAGGATCATGCCAAAAATAATTTATAGTCTTAGAAAAAAAATGATATTTTTTGTTCTTATCTCACTGTTCTAGAGTTTTTCCAGAAACTAGAAAATTAACAATATGTGCATACCATGGTGATGGTTGATGTTGAGCTGTCATCAATTATTCATCTAAAAATGCATCTTGTAAAGGTGCTGCATTTATTCCTATATCACTTAATCTAGAAAGATGGTCAACAACAATATTCTCGAAACCTTTTTTATCTTTTATTTCTAAGTCAAATTTCTGCAACAATAAAATCCATCTTAATAAATGTGGCTTTATATCTTTCTTATTTAATAGATATTTTAATGCTGCATGATCAGTATAAATAATAGTTTTAGCTCCCAAAATATATGATCTAAACCTTTCTAATGAAAATACTACAGCTAACAACTTTTTTTCAATCGTGGTATAGTTTAATTGAGCATTGGATATAGTTTTACTAGCATATGAAATTACTATGGGTTTTGACTCTTTTGTTTGTCCGAGAACAGCCCCCACTACATAATTCGATGCATCACACATTATTCCAAAGGCAAGGACTAATCAGGAGCTTGTAAAATGGGTGCCTCAATAAGTAATCTTTTTATTTCAAAAAAAGACTCAAAACATTTCTCATCAAAATTAAAAGGCACATCTTTAGATAATAGCATGGTGAGAGGTTTAAAAATTTTTAAAAAATCTTGAATAAATTTTCTGTAATAACCTACATGACCTAAGAAAGATCTAATTTGTTTTACTGAATTTTGAGGTTTCATTTTGGATATAATATCAATTTTTGCTCTATCCACCTCTAAACCCATTTCACTCACCCATTTCTTAATATGTTCTTTTATATGCATAATCTTCCCCTACTCTATTTTATCTTCCATACATATTTGTTTAATTTGTGAAGAGTGAAATATTTCAAGCTTCGAAATAATTATAATGGGCTTTAAGTTTTGAAGGATGGAAGGATTGTCTTCTTTAATCTCAAATCTAATGAATTCAGTAAAATTTAAATTTTCTCCTCCAAAATTATCTCTATATTCATATCCATTATTTTCATTTCTCCCCATTAGTTGAATCAACTCTTTTTTTAGCTTTTTGTTTCTCAACTCATCAAATTCTTCATCTTCACAAGAGCTGTCTTTTAATTTTGGTATATGATATACATCATCATCCTCACAATCAACATCCATGGCTGCAAAATTATGATTAGATTCATTAATTTCATCTCCTACGTCTCCCAAATCAATTGATTTTTCCTCACCTGAAATATATTTTTCTTCATTTCTATCCTTAGTCCCTTCTACTAAAATTTAGATGATTTTTCCATGATCAGTTGTTGTTTCTTCATCTAAAGGCTCTTTCTCCTCATCATCCTCACTATATTCATTCATCAATTGTGAGCAATAAATTATTTTATTCAAATTTTCTGCTACTATATTTTCGGCCTTAATATTCTCATTTACTTCTAATAGATCATCAATTTCTTCTAATAATTGAAAATAAGGATCAGGTAAAATATTCTCACTCAATGTATTCATTGTCCTAACATTTTCATTTCGTGGGTTTTTTTCTAAATTTATCTAGCTAGACTCTTCTTGCTGAAATCCTACTATTTGACAGTTTCTTGAATTTTCTATGGGCTGACTAGGTAGCTGTCCCTCTTCTCTCTTATCCCCAAGAGCCTCTATAATTTGTTTATGGTGCAGTATCATTTGATTCATAGTTTGTTGCATCATTTGGCTCATTTTCTGCATTATTTCCATAGCATCAAGTTGGATTTGAGAGGATTGATTTTTCTGAAATCTATGTTCTTATTTTGGACGAAATTCAAAATGTGAATTGAATCTAAGTGCTTCTAGATTTTGAATATTATTTAGGTTTCTCCACGAAAAGTTATTCTCCCAATTAGGATTATAAAAATTAGAAAAATATTCCCTATTTTTACTAAAATCATGGGGTACTTGCACTTGTTCTTGCCTAGGATGATATTAAAATTCGAAATGATCATTTTCACCATACATAGTACATGTACTATTTGAATTAAATTGAGGGTTAAGAGGCTTTCTAATATTGTCAATAAGTAAATCAAGTTTTTCTAATCTTTGATTAATCTAACTAACTTTATTTCTAAATTTAGAATCATCATCATAATGTAATTCATAAATTCCTCTCTTGTTATCCCTGTAATATAATTCAAAAGAGGCTTGCTCTCTAGAATTTTCACTTAAATTTTCATAAAGACTGTAAATTTCATTAAGAGTTTTCTCCATAAAAGCTCCTCCACATATAGAATCAACCATATTTTTATGTTGTTCTAATAATTCATCATAAAAAATTCTATTGAACTACCACTTGGGTATAGCATGATGAGGACACTCTCTAAGTAAATCTTTGAATATTTCTCATGTCTCATGTAAAGTTTCTCTTGGTCTTTGAGAAAAATTCTATATATGTTTTCTCATATTTTGAGTTTTTCCTAAGTGATAAAATTTTCAAAGAAAGGCCTGTTCTATGTCTTTCTAGCTAGTTAATTCTCTATCTAATGTG